CTATCTGCGTCTTTGAAATAATTTTGTGTCAATTGCTGGAATGATCATGTAATCAAACGAACTTCTGACTGCAAGTTGTAAGGACCATGGGATCGTGAAAATTAACTCCTTGAACGGTGGCAGTACAAAACGTGCTGGGCGAGACTACTTGTAGATTCATTGTTGATCCATGGTAAGTTATAGTACACTTTAATTACAAGGCAGGAATACGTAGTATAATATAAAAAAAGCATTGTTGAAGATGTTAAAGGCATCTTATAGCAACAACTTAACTGCTAGACTTTACTTTCTCCGAAAACGATTTAAAGGAAGGGGGGTAACATCCGTCTTCAAGTAGCCAACCTTGATAAAATAAGACACTTCTTTGACATATACGAGTCTTTTCACGACATTATTTCTCTTTATCATTCATTTTACCGGTAAAAGGGCATAAATATTTACAAATAAAAGTTCCAATAAAATAAAATCTTGAAGCAAGGGATCGTATCAAAACCGGAAGTGCTATTGATAAAGCATTTACCCGTGGATAAAGCATAGGTTTATCCAACGGGCAGTATCATTCACACGTAGAGATAAAAGATGTTTATTGGCTTTTGTAACATGTATACATTGAACAATACATCTCTCAGTTGATTCGATATGTAAGAGCATGCTCTACGTATGTACAATTTCTAAAAGGAGGTCAATTATTGACAAACAACTTGTTGAAACAAGAATACATGCCTAACCAGTCTCGTTTAAAGTCATCATTTCAGTTTAATTTAAGTTCTTTGGTCGAAACAATGACTTTGCAGCAAGTACAATTTATCGTTAAGTTAAATGCTGACTGACGTTTCTCATACTAATTGTTAGGAGGCCATTATTTACACAATCAATGGACGACGGATGTTTCCGTTATTTTCCGATCATGACCAGGTGCACACGGCGGGTGAAACCGGTCGGCAGGGGATTGTGATGTTTCTCAGGTCTGTGTTTGCTCTGCCCCTATTTTGAATAATTGTATATTGGACTTTTGAGCTTGAATAATGTTTGTTATCTGTATACGTTTCATTGTGAAGAATAACATATAAGCCGGCTATTGGCATCTTTAATATCTTTGAAAGTAAATCTGCCTTTGATGATTAAAAGAACATTTTAATTTTATCACAGAAATCTGTGTTTCATTTCATTTCATACTTTTACTATAGTATTTTAATAAGAAAAGAGGTCATGAAAAATTTTCACCTAGGGATTTATGTGAGTTTTTCCTTTGGTGGTGTATTTTTAGTAACTCAAAAATGCTTCTTTGATTTAAGATATCGGACCGTTTATTAACATTTATAACAAGGTTAAAAATAACATTATACACGAGACAAAATTGCTAACGCACCACCTAAGAGAATTAATCTTACATTTAAAAACTTGTTTATGATGTTTTTGATATATAAATATATTACTTTGACAAAAAATAAGGCATATTAATGTCAAACCGTATAAATAACTACAATGTTTACTGAATTGTGACCAATTCATCGAAAAAATAAAATCGTGTTTATTCCATTTTTCAAGGGGGAAAAATTAAATTTTTTTTTATTTGTGTTCTTTGCATTTGTACCAATTAAAAACTAAGAAAAAAAAGTAACATCGTATGCAGCGTTTGGCGTAAGAAGAGCGTGCTCAAGCAGACAGTATGGCGTCTGCAGGGGGTTCCTTTAGAGAAATCAATAAAAAATGAAAACAATAAAATGCTTATGAAATTTTGAAAATGAAAATTTGTAGTAAATAGATTATCAAACATAAAAATGTTTACTACAGATAGCCACGACTTTAAGTTAGCAGCATACAATAAGTTGAAAATCGTTCTACAAACTAGGTCAACCGGAAGTTGAGTAAATTTGGTGTGGACATTAAGGCACCGGATGATTACTAGGCTAGATGAGAGTCAATGACTGTTTGTTATTTGATTTATTACTAGGGGAATACTCCTGTGGCAACCTCATAAACCACCTATAGTGATCAAGAATTCATATCTGGGCAAAATTGGAGCGCAGTGCACAGATGGAAATTGCTTTTCGGACAAGAAGGTCATTCAAGGGTTTTCCGTGATACCAAGGCATTTTTCAATCGCACTGTTTTGGAAATAATGGCATATTATATACATTAGTACCGATCCGGCTAATGTTCAATCCACAAAAAAGAATTAACACGTGGTGCGTTAGCAATTTTGTCTAGTGTATATTACGGGGACCTGGGCATAGTTTTGATAAAATCTTATTTAGTTTTTTTAATGGGACGACAGAATTTAAGAGAGAGATGTCGAGTCATTGGCAAGATATTGAACTTTTAAATCTTTGTAAACAAAGTTTGTGAATTGTTTTTTTTTTTTTTTTTTTTTTGTAATTATTGAATAAATATATCGGTGAACTTCTTCTTAAGCATATTTTAACTATGTATCTGCTAGTTATTTTCGCCCTTTCACACTTGGTGACAAGCTTGCAACGTTTTAAAATCGCCTGGTCATAGTTTTATTTAAAAAATTACACTGTATTCTTTGAATTCGCCTCGTTTTAAATTCGCTCGAAGAAGAGTAGGGCGAGAGGGGCGAAAATAAAATTGGGCGAAAATTTCCCTGTGTACCGTAACGGCTTTTTAACATAAAAAAAAGGAAAATATAAGATTTGACCAAAACTATGTCCAGGTCCCTTTGAATTAAAAGACACCACAGAGTCTAAAATATCTGCTATATTTTAATAATACAAAACGTTTAATGGTAACTTACAACAATAAAATTATGATCAAGTTCTCATACTTATGCAGCATTACACCTTTATCATTAAAAAATTTGCATATGGGGGGTTTATGTCTCTCAGTTGATTTGATATGCAAGAGCATGACCTACGTACGTAAAGCTAGTTTCTATATGAAGGCAAATTATTTACAAACAAGTAGATAAAATGAGGATGTCAACAGTTTTGTTTAAATTCCTCATTTCGCGATTTCTATGCCTTTACAATGACATTGTCAGTAAAAACTACCCACCACTATGTCAAATGCTGACTGACGTTTTTCATATAATTGTTAGGTCATTATTCTTACACAGATTTTACAACGATTTGTCTGTTTGTCAGGCCACGGGATATTTACCTCTCCATGGCACTCGATCCCCTTCTGATGTATTGAAGGTTTGAGTTTGCTCTGTTCCTGATTTGATATCGTTTCGATAGACGTTTGAACTTGATATTTGTTTGTTACATGTTTGGTGGAATTCAGTTGATCAAGTTATTAATTATATAATCAGGGTTTAAAATAGTTTTTGCAGTCAAATATTATCTCCTACGTTCATTCAATGTTTCAAACGTTTAGAAGATCTAAATCTGATTCATCAGATCTTCGAAAAGTTTATAAGCGGGCTCATTCTAGGCCCAGGGTTTAGTTATTGAGAAGCCGTGGAACAGAGAGAACATCTCACGGACTAGGTAAGGTACATGTATTCGTGTGATCTCATTTGCGGTGTCTCAAACTTCTGCAGACGGATCATTTGAGTGACATAAATTCTTACGGGTTAATTACAGAGTAGATTACTAGTGTAATATGCGGTAGTTTGAAACCCAGGAATTTAAACTAATATTCCGGGAACTAATGTTCAAACAGAGTGTCAGACCAAGGCTTAGAACAAGGAGATAATTAAGGAAAATTATGATATATAAGATCAGTTTGAATCATTGTGGTGTTGATTAATATTGATTAACTTTGTTCTTTTATGAATTCCAATCAGCTAATTACGCCAAGTAACGTAAGGAAAATTGATCGAAGCCACAAAACACATTACACATATATCTCCATATTTCACTCCTTTACTAGTTTTTTAACACTATAAACAAACCTGCATTGGGGTATAGTTTTCAGTCTAATTTTGATCGCCTTCAAGAGGAGGTTAACGTGAATCGCACATATGATAAAGAACATAATTTAGATAAAATTAATTGAAATTCAAAATTTTTTCTAGAATATTCAATGGAATCTTTCGAAAATATTTTTAATTGCCTTTATTATTTGACGTCTGTGTGAGTAAATGGTAGCCGAAACCATGTATTTTTTAAATGCAGGGGGTAAAATAAGCTTTACATTTACTTTAAGAAATAAGAGTGTCATTTGGGTTTTCATAATTTTTAACACTCATGCCACATGGCTTAAATTCAGATTATGCCTTTTTGTGCGCCATCTAGCATTACGTAAGAGTTAATGTACGACTAGCGCTCCATTCCTTAAAAGTAATGGAGCCGAGGCCCCGAAGGGGCCGAGTCCCATTACTTTTAAGGAATGGAACGCTACGAGTGTTAACCCGCGTAAAATCCGCCTTTCTGAATGCTCGTTTTTATTGTTTGTTAATACATAAGGAATATATATATCATACACTGTAAATACTTAATATATATTAGTAGTATTAAATTTAAATGTAATATAAAAAGAAAGGCAAAAAAAAAGTACTGAAGTTAATCTAATTCTTTGTCTTTAATCAGCTTCGTTAGGTCAGTGAATTGAGTACCAGACTCCTATGGTGAGTGTACGGGGTTCGATTCTCGCCACGGGTGGTATAATTTTCTTAATGTGAAAACTAAACTTTACAATTTTTTTCTTTCCTCGGTAGAGGCACGGAAAGGAGAATAAGACCATAACAAATTCCGTTTTCAATGTAATTTGCAACTCTCCATTCCTGAAAAGTAATGGAGCTCTCAAACAAAAGAATGACGTCACAGGTGGATTTTACTTAAAGGCTGAACACGACTCGTAAATAGACATACGCCATTTTTTAAATATAATTATCTACGATACATCAACAACGGAGTATGCTCTTCAAATTTGTCACGACTGGCTGCTTTATTGAGATGGGTATCGGCGTGGAATGGCGACCTGTGTTTGTGCTGGTTAATTTTGCATTACCTTTGATTACAAATTATTGCAGTTACGTGTATTTGTAATTGTTTGTATACTGCACTGACCTCTTCAGCTATAATTGTAAGTTTCTTTGGTATCTTACTTTCCTGCATAAGACGAAGAAGGATATGGAGATAACGAGCAGTATTCAATATCAAGTCCATAAAACAATACAAAATAGGAGCAGAGCAAACACGGACTTCCGAAACATCCGAGATGGGATCAGGTGCCATGGAGGAGTGAGCATCCCCTGCTGACCGGTCACACCCGCCGTGTGCTCCTTGTCATGATCGGGAAATAAAAATCCGTCGTCATTTCATTTGGACTAACAATTATTATGAAAAACGTCAGTCAGCATTTGACGAAGTATTAGGTTATAATTGTCGCTAACGAGTGCTGTATAGCATACGTCCGTCTACACGGATGTCCACTGATTACACTGAAATGTTACCAAGTCCTGTCCTTTATATACGGGTCTTCAGATAAAGCGAGAATCCGAACAAAAATTGCTGACACATTCTTTACGAATCGTGTTCAGCTTTAAGTTCATTATTTGGTTTGCTTCAGTAATGATTCGATTTTAACTAAATCTGTTCATTTTGTGCAGTTTTTTTTTCATGTTCTTCAGTTTTGTTTTTCATTTAATGCTTTTTGCGAAAGTAATTTAGGGGAGGGGTTTAACGTCTTTTCTACCCTTACGCTATGAATAATTAAGTATGATCTATTCTTACTGATACAAAACGAAATTACAATAAATTTAAAGCTCGTTAAACTTGCGGTTTATGCAAATGGCCATAAAGAGTTCCTCCTTTTGCAATCGCGAGATCAGAATTGTACGGTACTACAATTCTAACATTTGGAAATCGTGTTGATATCAATAATCGAAAATATTCACAGTTACCATGACCACCATATAAAACAATATTGTTTGTTTCGTATTCACCAAGAACATTCTCCGTGTATTCTAAGATTTCTTGATAGCACTCGTCTATTATAAATTTACCATTTATGAAGGATCGATCTCCAATAAGCTCAACTTTATAAATTGAATTACTTTGTTCGTATATTGATGGTTCTCTTCTCATTTTCCTTTTATGAAACTCAAGAAAATTGGATGCAATAGGGATTTGGAAATATCCTTCAGTACTTAAACGCTTCTTTCGAGAGCCAACTTCTTGCATCCATTGTAGATAATGTATTTTTTCCTCTTTTTCAAATTCTTCGATAACTTCCTTGCCAAAAATCCCTCTGATGACATTTAGCACACGATGATATATATAAAATCCTCCTCTAGTTTCTTTACACACGATAGTTTGATGTGTGCCGTCTGGATTCATCGTCAGTATTGTTGCATTTGTGATACCTATGCCAAAATATTGAAAAAGGATTTTTTTTAGAGTATGAAAAAAATTATTTACAATCTCTTTGTTTACTATGAGAAAATATTGCAATAATAATAATAATATTTTTAGAGTATAATAAATGAGGTATTTTTGACATTTTATCACGCCCTTTGGGTATAATGAGTGTTAATGAAAACTTGGAAAAAATCATAAAGATTGGAATGCAATGCTTTTTACACATACACAGATATATGTTGGACAGTAAATATACAAGTCTTCTATATGTACGAGGGAAGTTCAATAAATAATGTCATCGGGGCTCGGAAAGAAGCAAAAGACGCTTTTTAATGATTTAGTCTTCATGATTTTACTTATTAATCTCTTTTGATTAAAATAGATGTCCGTTAAAGTTTTTATTTAATTTCTAATTGTATTTAGAACACATTTTTGGGTATTACCCTTAGTATACTGGAAAATAGCAGATCCAATGATTTCCTGGACTTGTTTTTTTTTTCTTTCTGAAAGGTGGTTTTTCAAGTTTGGAAATAGAACCAAGTCAAAAGGTTAAAGATCTAGCGAATATTGTTAATGTGAAAAAATATTAACTTTCTTTTAATCCCAAAAACCCCTTTACTCTTCAGGGGTACAGGATTTGGACGCTGTCATGATGAAATTTAATGTAGTGGATTCCTGATTCTAGGTCCTTCCTCTAATAAACCTTTCGATTTTTTTTGCAAAAAGATTGCTTTCTAGACTCCTCCAAAAATTAAACTGTCTCCCCGAATACGAAATTGAACAACAGTACCACTAATATTTGAGAAATTACATATAAATCTGTCTTTGTGTTCTTGCATACCTTTGCTCTTGTCGGACCATTACTGTTTTTATCAAGTACATCTTATAGTAAATTTTGTATTGAGTGTTTTAAGCAATAGATTCATGTTCCATTATCTGTTTGAATATGAAACAAACTTGGATAACTACAGTTACTGATATTTTAAAATAATTGTTAAGACATTCCTACACGCTGTCGTTTTCACTCATTTTTCAAAATACAGGGTGATCTTTGAGTACCAAGCTTTTTTACCGTCAAACGTTTCTTAAAACCATTGTAAACTACTCCCGATATGATGTCTATCAAATTTGCTATGTGTCTTAAAGTCAGTCATACATCATCAGATATTATTTGTTGAAATTGGGCAAATAGTACATAAGTTGTTATAATTTTTGTTGGTAAGGACGGTACCCAATTTTAATGCCCATTATATAATTTTTTATCATTGAAATCCACTTGCTTATTTGTCTATAAAACAGACATTGGTTGATGTAAATGTCACATATTTCAGTGAAAATTTCTTTGGAATTTTTAACACGTTTTACATCAGCTTTAATGAAGCTTTTATTTTCACTCTAGTTTACTGATTCTTTACCATTCATTTATAATGCAGTGTCTCGAATAGCCCTTGTTTCCCAGCTTCTCACGATGAAACTATGTGATGAAAAGTGGTCACATAAACTGTTATCAATTTTTTTAAGATTCAATAATGAGAGAAAGTCTAGCTTAATGTCATATGATTTCTATGTTGTATGTCATAGAGCTAATGACATTATTTATTGAACGTCCCTCGTATATAAGTGACTTTTATTAGTTATTTTTTCAGTGAACAATATTTCATGCCTTAACAAAGTATGTCCATGTACTAAACTTTCAAGCATCTGCGATAAGTAGTTGCGGAGAAAACAGCAATCATAAAATTGTGTGCATGGTACAGACTGACATACGGAATAAACAAGAAGTTGACATCGGATTCGTACAAATTAAAATGAAACCCAACATATGGCATGCCTAAACAAAGAGTGTGTTATAATTTCAAGCATCTGCTTTAATGGTTGCTATGAAAACTGCGGCCAAAATGAAATTTGTTACGAACAGACAGCTAGACGGACAGACAGACACACGAGGAGAAAACATAATCCCCTTTCTCTTTCGGAGCGGGGTATAATTACCTCCACAAAATAGTAGAAGATATCTACAACCGACGGAAAAATTTATCCAAGGTTTGGTTTTCAATCTCATCATAGTTTCATCCAGCCTATCCATAAGACAGACAATCGCATCAATTTCAGACACAATAAGAAATCTGTAACGTTTTGGTCCAATCTAAAATAAACAAGTAAATCTAAACTGTCAGCATTTTGTATAGTGATAACATAAACAAGTTTGGGGTAATACTTTTAGCAAAAAATTAATATTTAAACGTTTAGACAAAGTATTACAAAAACCTAAAAATGTAAAAATACCAGTGCAATGGTAGACAGGATGAGGAAATGGTAATGTGTAAGGTGATTGACTGTAATTAATTACAAATTCCCATGTAATTGAAAGAAATGTGTAATTGGCCAAATTTTCAATTACTAGTAATTGTAATTTACATGTAATTAATTATTTTCCAAAAAGGCATGTAAATCACAATTACTTTTCAATGAAGGATATGGAGATAACGAACAGTATTCAATCTCAAAGTCCAAAAAACAATACAAAATAAATGCTATAATCCTTCCAAAACCCACTGATATAATTCATAGCAATGTGTCTAAAATCATCTGAGACATATTTTATTAATTTTATCAATGACATTTTAGTCAATGTTAAAACTCTAGAATCAAATTTTTAAATTCAAAGAAGTGTAACTTTGTTTAGACGGTAGATTTTAGTACTGAAATAAATTCATAAAAAGATTGTAAAATCAATTTATGAAAAAAAATTAAAAGTTTCCTTTGCTTGCTGGATTTTATTTTTATTAGAAACAAAAGGGAAAACTAAGGAAGCCCATTTGTGCCAACTTGTATAAATATTCTGTATATAGGGGTCTTTTCGCCAAATGTTATTTTCGCCCTTCACATTTGCGAACAATTTTGCTCCGTTTAAAATTCTCCCAGTTATAGTTTTGTTCAAGAAATTATACTGTATTCTTTGGATTCGCCCAAATGAGAGCAGAATGAAATGGTTGAAAATAAAACGAGCGATCATTTCTCTGAATAAGTAAACGGAAAAGTAATATACACTGTATAAAAGCAAACCTGAATATAAAAAGAAAAAGCGAAATATAAAAAATACAACCTCTGTATATACTGTATAAAGGAAATACCATGAATTATAAAAAAGTAAAAATGATATATAGATAATTGTATTATCATAAAGATACTTAGAATAACTACTACTCCCCATAAAATTTTTTTGCGCAGTTTCCTCCATTTTCAATTTGGGAGCTTTTAATAATTTCAATAACAAAAAAAATGAACCTAGGTGTAATGACTTGTACCTATCTTCAAATCCTTTGTGGATATGTTTCAATTTTATCTATATTCAAATCCATTGCACTTGCCTTTAAATCACTTGCACCTATTTTTAAAAGAATTGAAGATATGTATAACTCTTTTGAACTTTTTAAAAATTGTATTAGGTGTAATTCTTATAAAGATAAACCTAAATCATATGAACCTAGGTTGAATTATATAGAGATTGGCAGAATTACGAGAGTTGATCTAAAAGTAATGTCACTTGGTCCATATCTTTTATATTTGGCGCCATATTATCAAATACAATATACCAAAAGATGCACAAATATAAATCTAATTAACATTGAAATTTTAATTTGATAATGTTTACTTGAATGTATTTTATAGCTGATTAAAACATAGAGCCTAGGGGGTGTCGCCGCGTCACAACGGAACGTCACGTTTAAAGTGCATTTTTTCTTAGAATGAAAAAGACAAACACATAAAAATATTCTCAAAAGCACCTAATCTCGTCATTTTCTAGTCTTTAATTGCAAATTAAATGACGGCATTGGTATTTGTGATCATAAACATTACGGTTTTACTCTGTTGAATTAAACAAAGGGATTGATTGTGGAAATGGGAGAAAACGGCTCGACGAGTTGTAATGCATTTTTGCCTCAAAATATGGGAATCGTCACAAGCGACAGTTACGTTAATTAATCAGACTTCCAGAATAAAGAATGTAAATAAGAGACATCCTAATACATGGTTCCAGCACTTTTGGGCGGGTGATGGGGCATTGAATGAGCAGCAGAGGACAAGAAGACCGAAATATAGGAGATCGAACGGAAACGTTCAATGGTGTCTGACGTCAAAAAAGATGTATAGAGTGACATGTGAATTTTTAAGTTTGTCTTAAGCTACTATTCAAAAAAAATTGACAGAGGGCTTAATTATGAAAAGAGTGAGTATATTATGGTACTTTGAATTCTTAAAGAAAGTGGAATTGGTGAAAGTGTTTGCGAAACACAAATATTTTTTAATAATTTAATTTCAGTTTTAACACGTCATTTGATTGGTTAAACGGTTTTATCCAATTTGTATAACACAACTTGCCTACGTCACAATTAGTTACGTCAAAAACGTTAACTTTTAAAATATGCTATATTTGAAGCCTTTTCCGAAGTTAAAAAATGGAAAAACTGTATCATTGTTTACATTGAAATTAAATTATAAGGAATGAAGCTTATTTCAACTTATGTTATACGATATAACATAACTTGGGGCAGTTTACGTTTTCTTATAAACAGCTTCGCGGTTTATAAAGCGTAAACTGCTTTATAACTGCTAAGTTATGTTATATCGTATAACATAAGTTGAAATAAGCTTCATTCCTTAAATGAAACGAAGGGGAAACGCTCAAAAGTATGACGGTGCGTATCCGTCATATGACGTTATATTTAGGTGCGGCGACTACCATAAACGCACATTGTTTAAAATCCGATATTTTGGAAAGTATACATCATATTCCTTTGAATTCTTTAGGTATGATTTGAAATAAATAAAGCTTCCATCATGTATAATTATGTTGCTTTACGGCGATTTATACATGTAGCAATTTTATCAAAGTTGTGACATTACTCTAGGATCAACCCTCGTACATGTATTAAGACCTATCTTTAAATCAGTCGTACTATATTTCTTTCAATTAAAATTAAAAACAAAACACATCACGTTTTTATTCATGTATTTATTTTCATTTATTGTGGTGCCACCCTGTAATATCCCCAGCAAATTGCCATGCCCAAAATTGCCCTTTTTAATAAACCAGACGCCATGTTCGTAAATACGTACATATATATATACGGAAAATGTTACAAAAAACCGTCTGCCTGCTAATTTTGTATATAAGCAAGTAGAATAATAAATAAACCTGCGACATAATGATCACATCCTTCGCGAATCTAGAGCATACGCTCTTACCACTGCGCCACGCGGGCGATTCATGATGTTAAAGAATTTATCAAAGCAAAGCTTTACCTTTCTTTATTTGATCTTTCTATTTGAATCCAATATTTATTATTCTACTTGTAACATCATGGATCTAAAATAATCAAAATACTGAAAAATATTCATACGTGGATGAATAAATTCTCGTACCCTTTACTTCTCAAAGCTAGACAAAGGTAACCTTTCTCAGGGGCTAAGTCAGAAGTAAAATTTATTTAGCTATGCTTTGATTCAGTAATGCTCCATTTTTACATCCATACAAGTATTTATTACAATATTTTATCAAAATTATAAATTTTACCTTTTTTGATGAAATTTCCCTCGCAATATGCTGTAAGTGTGAAGGAAGAATGAGAACCAAAAATACATCTTTTTCGAAAGATATAAATCCTACTCGTTCTTTTATCTGTTCTTCCAAGATTTCTAGCATGTATTGCAAACAGGATAAAACGACATCCGCAGTTTTCTGGTATGTTAACGGGTTTCCTGATAATACACCCAAAGCTATCTTTTTGCAAAACTAAATAAAAGATATTTTATTGATTATGATAATGTAAGGGTTGTTCAAGATTTTTTAAAATTAAATACAAACTGTTTTTCTTGTTAAAAATTATTGACCAGTGTTACAGTTCACTTAACAATACAATAAAAAAAGCAAATATCCAGTGGTGGATATAAAAGCACTGGGTTTAAAATTCAAAGTTTGATTTTTTTCTTTCGCCTGATTTTTCACTTCGTTCTTCTTTCAACTTTTGTTCAAGAAGTTCGAGAGAACAAAAATAACAATGGTTGACAAGAACATGGTTTACTGAATACTCGTTGAAAAATATGAAAATGAAATGGTGTATGTAAAGAGTTCGAGATAAGTTCAAAATAACGATACATCTACAAGTGTGTTTTTAAGATAATTTATATAGAATATATCTGAAATAATACAAAGGCAACTGATATATGTATATGTAGTTGAGTGAGTATTTGTGAGTATTTATCTTTCAATGTTCAAATTTTAAAAAGAAATCTTTCCATTTGTACTTTATTTGTACTTTTTATTTATTAAAATATCTGTATTTATTAATTATATTCTTTTGCTTTTATCTTAGTACAGTGTAAAAAGTCTTACTTTCATGGCATTTTTTGAAAGTTTGATTAGTCGATGTTCTTTTTCGGTTTCATATTTCATCTCCACTTCATATCCAAGAGCAACCACTCTTCCATTTTTGTCAAGAAGTATGGACATTTCATCTGAAGAAAAATGTTTTCTCGCGATTTCAATTGTTTTACACCCTGACGCATTTAAAGGTTCACTGCGGAATGAAAACAGCAACTTGCAGTTTGATGTTCCAAATCGCATACAGACCACAAGCATTTTATCAAATTGGTCTAAAAATTAAAAAAAAATGTATGCGCATTAATATTTCGAAGTACATATTATACAATTATTGCTGTTTTTTGAGGTCAATACAATGATTTAGCCATCTGAGAAGTACAGTATTCACCGAGCCCGAAGGGCGAGGTGAATATTGTACTTCAAAGATGGCTAAATCATTGTATTGACCGAAAGAGAAGCAATAATTGTTTTATTATATGATTCACTGATGAAATTATACAGCTCATTACTTGTATGCATTTAACTTAGTCCTGCAAGAGAGAAGTCGAATTAAAATGGAAATAAACCTTACCAGTCGTGTCAATTTAAAATGTTTTTTATCAATTTTAGTTGCCATGAAAAAAAATACAATGTCAGTCTTTTTTATTTATAAGATAGACATTGAAAGGAAGGAGTGTTATCAGAGAAAACTGCCAAAAAGTAAAAATTGTTGTATCAGTAAAAGTGTTGGAGGGGGGTCTCTGCATCCCCTCTTGCCACTCTCACCCGAAAATATATATTTGCTTATGTTTTGTTCACATGAAAAAAAGAGTCATAGTCGTTGAAATAGCTTTCCAAAACAATTTGTATCAATTTGGAATTTCCCGATCTATTTTTAGATCAATGTAGAGGAAATAAATCCTTGTATTCATCTGGAACGTCACGTGCAGGTCAATACAACGTAGTATTTTTCTAACATAGTTGGATTTCAGCCAATCAGAGAGATGGAATTTATTCAATCATATAATAATAATTGTTATACCCTTAGAGATATCTTTCTTTGTATGTTTCATAATAAAAAGTCCACCAAAATGTTGATAAAAATATGATTTATATTACGCAAATTAACCTTTTCTGTTTTTCTCTTCCTCTACACATAAGAGATTTCCCCCCGTAGATGACAAATCTATACCATTACTAAATGATTTCAATTTAAACATTCCAGTTTCGCGAGGGTGCCATTTTCCTTTCATCGTTTTGTCTTCATTGGAAAATGCACACTTTATTTCATATTTAATTTCTCCTTCTTTCGAAATAGTCATTTTGACGTTTTCATCGGATATCGTTGATTCGTCAGAAGAAATTAATTTCATGGATAATGTATATTCATGTTGTACAAGAAAGTGAGATGGAATAACACTTCTGCATTGAAAGAGGTTTGCATTTGTAGTGTGTAATTTTACAAGTTTCCGAACTGTTCTCTCAAAGTCAAGCATATTTTCTTTTGGGACGGTTTTGAAAGACGCCGAAGAAGTGTGTGGATTAACATCACATGGTATACTCCCAAGGTTCTGAAGTCTTTCTAACATTGACTTTGATATTTCAAGGAATGCTGGCATATTCTTTGAATAAAGCATGTGATTCAAAAACTCGATTGCTTCACAACAAGAACTTTTATTAACTTGCAAGGAATCTGCCTGTGTTTGAAGAACGTTAAATTTCTTTCCAATAAGATGGTCTATTTCTCTAGTAAATTCCTCCTCTTTTTTATCTAGAACTGTTTTTGAATATTCAAATGTCTCTTTTGTCATCTTACTTTGATATTTTGAATGCATTTCAAGAGCAACCTTTTCCTCCTCTATTTTGCAAATAATGTTTTCGATTTCAGAAATTTTCTTTTTGAGTTTTGTTTGCAAAACTTGTGCTCTGCGCGTTTCATTTTCAAACGCTTCGCTTAACAATCTATGCCCGTGTTCACGGTGTTCAACAAAAGCACATAAAGTGCAAACCGGTTTCCTACATGAGAAACAGTAAACGTTTCGTATCTCTTTTTCGTGACCTTTCTTAGTGCAAGTTGCCTCTGATGAAAACAATTTCGATTTTTCTCTAAAATTACATGTCGAAATATTTTCTGTAGAAAATATATAGTGATGCTTTAGTTTCCATACCCGTTTGTGAAGCATTACACACTCATTACATATATTTACTTCACATTGTTTGCATCTATTCAACGCGTGTAAATTATTGTTACACATTTCACAATTCTTATAAGTTTGGTTGACAGTATTAACGTATGAGTAATAATCTTTCGTAAGAGCTGAAACACCTGGTAATTTGCACAAATCTTCCCTTTGCGTGTTGTGTTTTTCAAAACAAGCTGGACATATTCCGTCTTCTAAATCACAACTCTGAAGGCACGTTAAACAAAAAGTATGTAGACAAGGAAGAAGGTGGGATTGATCATCGAACATACTAAATTGCTTTTTGCACTTCAGACACTTCAAATATTTATAAACTGATTTGATCATTGCACTTTCTGATTTGTCCTCCATTTTTAGCTTGAATAGCTAAACGCACTTTGAATATATATGCTTGTTCTTCTTTCTTTTTCGTTGTTCCCTTTAGCAACTGAAGGTGGCGATAATGATCATATGTTTCCAAGCATCAACAAAATAAAATACTTAAAATGACATGTATTTTTCTCTCTCGAATGAGTTAAACCTTATTTCAAGGCAAAAAACTTCCTCTGGTAATTGTTTCACGCGGTCAAAAATAAAGTTTAAATTACTTCAAACATGTTTTGTTGCATTGTGCCTCCGCATATTGAAAAGAAGGTACATTAAGTTCCACTTAAACACAAATCATCACCATTATGACATTTTTCCCACTTATAAGACGAGTTTTCAGAAATGTAGTTTCCCCACTTTACATCTATGAACGCCATAAAGAAAATAGGCGAGCTGGCAAATTTCCATTTTTTTTTTTTTTTTTTTTTTTTGTATTTAAATCTACGTATCTCTTAGGAATTTGTTTATGTAAATCGGCCAGGTTCAGAGGATTTTTTCCTTGACTACCTAGATATTTCTTAATTAGTCATGCGAGTATTGTCCCATAAAAATGTGAACATTTATTGTTTTCTTATGATACATGCACATGTGTTACAAGTTTGAAAATTAGTATGCATCGTTATCAACAATTTTATGCAGCTCCTTATTAATTTTATTGAAACTCGATGTTTTTCTCGAAGTTATATTGATATTACATTGCAGATGTCGGCAGAATGCCGACGACATCAAAAAATAGTTCGTAACGTTTGTAAAATTTATTTTTAAAATGTACATGTACATGTACGTCTTATGTCAGAGTTTAACCCCCTTCCCCGCAGTCACGCATTTTAACGCATATACCATTTCCTATTTCTGACGCAAAATCACGCATATACCGTTTCCCCGCAATCACGCATTTTTACGCACTTTATAAAGTTCATTTAATCGTTAATTTAATGTCAATTTCCTTCTATTTTATACTTGCAAAATCTCATCAGATAAGAAAAGTTATTTTGGTATTAAAATACAGCTTCATAATATTATTTATGCAAAACTTTAGAGAAACGTGTACCACGCTAAAATGTGCTTGCGGGGAAATGGTAAATTTAGATTTCTATGACGTGAGCATTAAGTATATGTTGAATAACAGTTCAGTAAGTTGTAAAGAGTTAAAGCCGCTTAGTCCGATTCTAATTGCGAAAAAAGTAAATTCCTTTTTCTTCTTGAAAACTAATTGTCCATAAATTGTTTCAACTTTTGTCAAATTATATCCCCAAAGTCTTTTTCTTTTAAAAGATATAAAAATTCAAAAGTTAAAAAAATAATTTTTGTTAGGTCACACAAAAAATAATCCTATGTTGATATCGCGTGAAATCACCTTCGAAAAATTTAATTTATCGATTATATCTCATGAAGAACAAACCCGAGTATTTTTTTCACAACAAAACACTTATACCTTATTTTCTCCCTCGTTTCACTCCTCCGAAAATAAATATTTTCTTGACTAACTTGAAAACATACAAAACAATATATTGTAGGATTGTTGCGTTCGTTACAAATCGCATTTTTATTCAAGTGATACAATTCAAATGCATAATTTTTTACAAAATAAACAATGCAAGGGCTGGGTGGGCAGGGAAAGCCAAAGACACAAAACAGCCTGCGATTCTTTGTAACGAACATCGCATTAATGGAACAATCCTCGGTAAATGTATTTATAGTGAATGCTAAAGCGCTCGTGCATTAAAAAAACCTGCAGGCATGTTTACGAAAATTTCCTAAGATTGTTCATAAGAAATTTCCTAAGATATATCTTAAGAAAATCTTAGGATCATCGTAAGATTATCTTAAGGTGTTTTTCAAAACTATCTTATGATTATCCTAAGCTAAGACGTCTTAAATCATTATGACAGAGAGATACACTTAGCTTTTAACCTTTGTCAGGGATCAGAGAGTTATAATTTTTTGCTATTTATAATGCTTCACGTTATGTCATCATAATGAAAATATTTAAATGAATGAAATTTTTAATTTTTTTTTAATTTATAGATATAAATTATATATTTTTGATTATCAATCATCTAAAATCGACGATATACTGTAATATTGGTTACATCTAAAATCAAATTTTGTCCTATTCTCGACACTTAGGGCCATTGAGCAGTGAGGGATCTTTTTCATGTCACCACCAACTGCGACACGGGGCCTTGGTTTATACGGTCTTATCCGAAGGACCGGTCTCCATGCCATACAGGCACGTAATTTAACATGGGGGAAGGGAGGTCCAAACATACTATTTACATTGTATCATTGAAAATGTTCATTGAAAGATTGTCCCTTCCCCCTTTTAGTGTTGTATAGTAAAATAAGGTAACGGTAATAGCGTATGAGTAATATTTGTCACTGAAAGAAGTTGGAACCTAGCCCCCCTCCTCCCCAGCACGAAATAAGATTTTCGCACAGACACCTGACGTTACTTATTTTTCTTGTAATAAAAATATACCCCTACCTAAAAATAAATTATTATTAGGTAGGGGTTATATTTTTTTATTTAAAGAAAATTAAAGTAACGTCAAGTGCCTGTGGATTTTAGAGCTACAAAATTTAAGGGTTCTTTTTCGCTTGTCAAGTTTTTTCTTAAAATATACGTTATCTAGATTCTTTTTCCATGTTAGTTGATTCTTTTTCTACCCCCCCCCCTTCAAAATTGATGCTACGTCCGTGTCATATGTGTAAATATAGCACTGTGTAATAATTCAACATATGTAGAAACTACCTGATATATACAAAAACAAAAAAATTCATGATTTTTTAGATTGCGTTGAGGTTTCAAGAAGGGGGAGGGGGCTTAGAAAATAAATACCTCTTTTAAATGATATCAGTCAAATTGTATTACATTTGTTGTGATGAACACATCAACAAAAATTAATAGTCTTATCAAACATTTTATTTAACGAAATCTATATATCACAGTGGTAAATAATTTTTACAGCTGTCGTTAACGGTCCAGACATACTAGAAATCAGTCTTTCGGATTCTTCCTATATCTTTGAATACTCATTCACGTCTGATACGACGATTTCGTCGAGCCAGCAACAACATGGATGGAGCTATTTCTACTTACGATAGACTTAAGATATGTCTAAAGCTGTCGTAACTTTAAGATAATTCTTAAGAACTTTCTTAAGTTACGATACTTTCGAAAACCCCACTTAGTCTTAAGAATTGTCGTAAGTATATCTTAAGACGTTTCTTAGTCCTAAGATGGCTTCGTAAACATGCCTGCTGTTTCTTTAGATACGAAAATTTACGGAGAGTAATCGAAGTAAAAACGTAAAGAAATGAATTGTACACGGACAGTATTTTAGCCATCGCTACTAAACTTCCTTTAAAAAATCTTTAAAAATATCTTTATTCTTTAAATATGCAAATTAATATAAAAATTACTATGGATCATATTCAATCAATTTCTTGATTTTTAAAAGATATATTATGTCAGACTTTCTTTTCGGATTAAGTGGCTTTAAAATGTTCCTTTACATTTCATTTTCAGTGAATAACCGAAATGCTTATCAAACAAGAGTCATCCCAAAAATTAGTTTTTTGAAGTAACGAACAATTCCAACCCAGACCATGATTATAACTATTCGAGAGGTTGATCTCTTCATATGACGTGTGTTTTGTTTCTTTTAAGTTTGGCGTAATTTTGAAATTTGGCGGTTTATAAAGATTTTGTTTTCAACCGGATAAACAGTCAAATTAAATCATCCTTGAACCCCTTTTTAAATATGTTTACAAGCCGATTTTTAAGAAAAGTTTAGTTCATTTCAGTGTTTGTATCTCTTTTTCCTTATGGACAAGAGTCATTCCCCCGAATGATACAATGAAGCGCATTGAAGTGGTAAAATTTTCCATTTGAACGAAACGTTCTGAGTCATGTTTTGAACGTCAATTATAACATAAAGACACACCCATTTCTTTAGAAAATAGAAAGGAATATTCGGCGTAATATTTTAGGACAGTACACTTTCCGCGACAAGCAACATGAGTTACATTGAAATGAAGATTTTTAAATAAGAAAGAGTTATGTATTATAGTTCCCGCTAATGTAAAACACGCATTGCAACGAATTTGTACAAGATTATGATTTTATCATGTTTATTGGAGTTAGGATAGAGCATGTATCAGTCGAACACGTGCTTACTCGGTGTTTATGAAGACCGTCAATTTCATTGGCTATTATATTTATAAAATACCTGTTCTACAGGTATTCACTGAATCATTTGACCGATTTTTCCTTTCTAAAGAAATGGGCGTGTCTAAAGATAGCTCAAAACGTTCCATCCAAACAGAAAATTTTATCACTTCAATGCGCTTCATTGTAATAATATGTTGCTTCGGGCCTCAAAATTATCCGATGTCGCCATTTTGTTTTTGAATAAATCAATAAATTGACATTTATGAAGTCACATAAATGAAGTTTCACAAATTGCCTGCATTATTACCACAGATAGAAGAATTTCTATCAAAGTAATTTTATAACAATAGTTTCCGTAAAAATACCATACTATCTTAACCACAGAAGTGTACACACAGCAAAAGTGTTAAAGATCATTTCAAAATGGTCAAATGTAGCACGTCCTTCATACTTATTTGCAGTTAAAGGGTTATAGTGGTTACCTGGCCGCACAATAGTAGAAAGCAACACATTTCAAGACATGATGTTTAATATGTATTTTTATTTCAAAAATATTTTACTTTTATTCCCAATATACATGTAAGTTTCAAAGCTTCTTTTCCATGAAGTTTAGAAATCGTTTCATATATACATTTATCATAGGCTTTTTCAGTACAGTCAATCAAGATATATAGAATGTACTTCCAGTCCCTTACCTATCTTTTCTCGTTTGTATGCTTATAAACATTTGCAATTCTATATTTAATCTGTTCATATTTTAAATCTTGAAAAGGGTTATTTCGCAATCTTTTTTTCCTTCTTCACCGTTATGATATTATTCGGAAACTGTATTTTGATGTCGTTATTGGTTACATGCCAAGTGAATATACCTTGCTTTCTAGCTATCCATTTCCCTCTGTATGTATCATTATCCAAATGGCAATCTATTATTTGTAAAAAATCCCCTTGATGTCTTACGATTACTATTTTTACATTTTCATTCTTTACTATACTCCCATCGACGGTTCGAAGAATAAATTCTATTTTCAATTCACTTCCTACTATGCAATATTTACCAGCATTGATGACACTGCAATTGGGTTCATAAACATCGCTATTAAGTAGCTTTCCAAGATCATCTGTAACTTTTTGTAACGGAAGAAAATTTTCTTCCTTTGACACTTTAAAAGTCTTAGCTTGAGTGCGTGGATTTGAGTCATATGTTGCAGATTGTAGTTTCTCCATTCTACCTTCAATGGAAGGCCATACCTCTAGAAATGCAGCATGATTTTCAAACATTAGCGAAAAATCAAGAAATTCACATGCTTCAACACATGATTCCTTTAATTTCTGTAGTTCAGAACATTGATTCTCTAATATTCTGATTTTTCTTGATTCAATAGTATCAATTGAGCGACATATATCCTTTTCCACTCTTTGTATTATTTCTCTGCCCTTGGAAATGACTCCACGATTTTTTTCTTTTTCTTCTTTGCTTTTCAGATTAATGCCATGGCATTCATTTTGTATATCTCCCAAAATTTTATCTATGCTTGAGATTCTACCTTTCACAACAAGTGCAGCATCTGATAACTTTTTGCGGTCGTCCTCAAATTCTTTAGAAATGATTGAGATTTTGTGGTTCAGATGAGAAGTAAGAACGCAAAATGTACAGATAGGTTTTTGGCAGGAGGAACAGTATATTTCAATTTCCTTAGACTCATGGCCCTCTTCCTTGCAAAAGCTCTTATGTGCAAAACGCTCTAGATGTTCAAGCAAAATGACTGAGTCATTCTGCAATGGGACCGGCTGATGGGATTTATACGAAATAACAGTTGTGTGAATCTGCACACAATTTTCACAAATAAAATATTTGCAATCATTACAGTGATGAGTGGCAATATCTTTCTTATCGCACATTTCACAAAGTAAAGTTTTTTTGGACGAAGCTTTGACAAAATCCAACAGATCTCTTCGAGTGTTGTCTTTTTGAAAGGCGTTCAAACCATCGGTGACTTTATGAGTGGTTTTGCAGAGTGGACATATGATTTTCCCATCGATATGCAAATTTTCGAGACATAAATAGCAAAAGGTGTGTAGACAGGGCAACAGCCGAGGATGGTGGTTTTCTTCGTCGAACATCTCAAAACAAATGCTACATTCTAGAAATTTTCTTTGTAATTCCTCGAGGTTGACTGATGCGTTACTCGCCATTTCTATATCTGAAGCAATGAATAAAAAATTTGATAAAATGCAAATATTAATATCAAAAACCAATTATTTCTGTCTTTTTTCTCTTTAATACATATAAGGTAAGTATCTTCTTGTATATTTCTATAAAATGTTCTTTCGCTTCTGAAATTCTTTTAACGTTGTGATTTTTTAAATCTCTGTTCAACAGGATACAAGTTTTTTCAGTTTTTTTCTCATTCTTTTACCATTTACAAAGTCAGTAATATATCAAAGGCAAATAATTTCGGAAAAATTTGTTTCCTTACCTTTCTTACAATCAACACAACATTTCCCCAATTTTAAGCAAATTGTGTTTCAAACTGTTCATTGGATACTATCTTTTCATTCGCAAAGAAAGAGTCAGGAATTTATGTGCTATGCTATTCATTATCCACCATCTGAATAGCTTTCTTTTCCCCCTGTTTTTATCAATTCATTAAGCTTCAAAGCTTTTCAGTATGTACAATATGATGCAATCAGATTCAGTACAAGCCTGGATAATTTACAAGAAAGCTTTGCTTACGTACAAAATAGTTGTCAGTGTAATAAAAAAAGAAAAAACATTAATTATTCAAGATGAGATTTCAAGATTATCTCTTCGCCCCATGCTTGAATACACGTTTACTTAGACCTATATATATTCTTAAAGTTCTCAGTGTTGAATAATTGCAGTAATCTATACTTTGATGGTTTTCTGAAGCAGAGTTGTGAAAAACTGCTAGTCACACCAGCAAGACTGATTTTAAATACCTGTAACTGGTTAAAATGCCCTTGTTGTAAGTCCAATGGATGGTATGTGTGTGCATGCTTTTTTTTATATGTATTGGACGTTTGAATACCATTGTCATAAAAGATGAAATTGAGTTTTAATAGTATTACATTAAACCAGATGAAGGCTGATGAAAGTAAAATTTATCTCATATTAACTATAAAGGGGGGAGGGGGAAGGTTGCCAAAGAAAATACAGGGGAAATTGACAGGGAAGTGAAAGATTTTGGGAAAAGGATAAAATTTTACATTTTTATACTTATAAATGTAATGTTTAACCCCCTTCCCCGCAGTCACGCATTTTAACGCATATACCATTTCCTATTTCTGACGCAAAATCACGCATATACCGTTTCCCCGCAATCACGCATTTTCACGCACTTTATAAAGTTCATTTAATCGTTAATTTAATGTCAATTTCCTTCTATTTTATACTTGCAAAATCTCATCAGATAAGAAAAGTTATTTTGGTATTAAAATACAGCTTCATAATATTATTTATGCAAAACTTTAGAGAAACGTGTACCACGCTAAAATGTGCTTGCGGGGAAATGGTAAATTTAGATTTCTATGACGTGAGCATTAAGTATATGTTGAATAACAGTTCAGTAAGTTGTAAAGAGTTAAAGGGACATGGACACAGTTTCAGCTTAAAATTTTCAAATTCAATTTACCATTTTTTTCATGTTTACAAGTACTTAACTAAGGCATTTTTTATGATTATCAAAAATTTGAATTTCAGTTGTCGAGATACATGACAGATTTAGAGTTCAAAACCTTTGTTTTGTAAACAAGGCTCGCGCCATGAATTAGTTTACATAGGTTAAATACGTTATATGTTCGTTTAAAGAATCGTATCGACGGAAACGTTCAATGGTGTCTGACGTAGTCAAAAAAAAAGTCAGACGGTTAAAGCGACATGTGAAATTTTATGTTTGTTTTATGCTACTGTTCAAAGAATTTTGACAGAGAACTTAGTTATGAAAAGATTGAGTGTACGAAGGGTACCAAGAATTCTTAATCAAAGGAACTGAAATTTGTTAATGTGTTCGTGAATCTCAAGTATTTTTTAATGAAACAAGGGGTACGTGCATTATAATGTGTATCCGTCATATGACGTTATTTTGGTGCGGTAACTACCATAAACACATATTGTATATAATCCGATATTTTGGAAATTATAAATCATATTACTTGAATTTTTCAGGTCTGACTTGAAATAAATATAGCTTCCATCATTTATAATTTTGGTGTTTCACGTCGACTTTTATCAATTTTATCAGAGTTGTGACATTACTTTTGGATCAACCCTCGTATTAATCGTCTTTAATGTGCTGTAAATACAACATGATAATGAATGTCAAATAATATAGGAACATGGATGATATCCAGTTCCTTCTTTATCCTACATTTATAACAGTGATTTACGAGTATCACCATTTTTACATTAAAAATGTAAACTGAATTCCTTTTGATGGTCAACTGGTCATTCTCAGACCCCCCCCCCCCTCGAATAAAGATTAAGGTCAAAAGAAACTTTGTATATTTAAAATCTCGTTCTTACTATCTTCCCTTAAAGGAGCCTGAGCACAGATTTGAAGTTAATAGTTTCTAAATTTTTAGCAGAATGTTATGAGTGGATGATGCCAGAGCATTTCACAACAAAATATTGAGAAAAAAACATACATTATTAGAACATTCTTTTGGACAATACGTACAAAGCAACATGTTCCGTCACACCCCTCTCCCATTTACGCACACAACTGCGTGAAATAACGAGATCCTATCAAGTTTAAATGAAAGAACTTCAAATAAATTGTGAAATACCATACCTGACAAACATTTAAAATATCTCACGCGATGTTTGTCAAATATGATATTTCTTGTTTCAACATGTTCAATAGTCGGTATATCTTTTTAGTAATTCGATAGTCGTCTACATATATATAAACAATATGTAATCATTAAAACATCTTAATATGAAACGGATGTGCCAGACAAACCAACATTACAAGTAAGGAATAGTGTAAAAGTGTTGAAATGTTTCAAGTAATATTTCAAGGCTCTAGTTCCCATACAGATTTCGAATTAAAATAAAGTATATGTTTGTATTATTGTCACAGGGAAAACATAAGCAAGTTGGATAAGAATAATCAATTGTTTTCTTTTATTTCTTTAATCATCCACTATTTTGCAATTATTTTTTTTCCATATATCTGAAGAAAACTAGGGGTGAAGGCTTCCAAAAAAGTGCTATTTACAAAAGCAAATATTTTAAAATAATATCTTATTAAATCAGTGTGGATTAAAGCTTGAAAAACATAAACATCTTTATATTTCCTTATTATTGATCAATGTCTTTACCATAAGAAATCATTAAGTTAAGACTCTAGCCAATAAAAATTATCATTTTAGTGCTTTAATTTGCTACATGAACTACAAACAAATGAACCTAAACGCCAAAATGACTTTCTGGTGAAAGTTGTTACTTAAAATAGACCAGTATTTTTAAAAAGAGGTTAAAATGCAAAAAAAAAAATGCTGTATATATAGGCATTTTAACACAACACCTGGCTTTTACTATATTCCCCATTTTCAAAAGGTGAGTTATTTCCCCTGAAGGGAACTCTTTTACTGTGTTTAATACGCATGCGCTATAAATAAAGTCACTTCCGCGGACGTTCTTGGTGTAACATGTTCATGGTGTAATGCCTCTGTCATATGGAAAAATGTTATTGTGTTTGTGAATAAAAAGAAATCTTAACTGATTCGTATTTTTTTTAAATTGCCCACTCATAGTCTCTTTCTGGATTTGTATTAGTCTGTGTAGTACTATAATAAGGTGCTGTGTGACCCCCCCCCCCCCTCCCCCTTACAAAAAAAAACGAAACAAATTACTGATAAAATGCTGATACATATTCGAATAGGCCTATTTTTAAAAAAAACTAATAAGCTAATTTTCGGTAGTGGATGTTCTGCAGACGTATCATCATTATTTACAAAATGTGCGGAACAAATTTTTAGTTATAAATTAAGTTTTTACGAATTAATCTAGCCTGCTGCAGCCATATTTTCTTTGTATCTCTAGGATTTTTTTGGAGACTGATGACATGTCCATCTACAGTTTTACCTCTGAAATTGCTGCATATACAGCAGTAGTTCGTCTTCCGCGACCGATACCAAGAAACGTTTTTGCTCGATTGAACTTTTACTTACAAGAACACATTTGGTGACAATTAAAGGCCTATTTCATTTGAATTAACAGTGTTTCTAGAATTTTTTATTTGATTCATTATATAGTATTAAAAATTTGAATGGAATTCTAAATGAATAATTTAATCTCATGTCTTCATGTAACGAAGAAGAATTAAAATAGCATTGACCTGAATCCGTGTTACATATGTCGTATAAAGTCTAAGCTGCATTTAATCAAAGTTTTAGTGTAGGATCTACCATAATTATGTACATGTATATTCCCGAGTACAATACACATTTTGTTTTAGATCAGAGAATCGAGAGCAGAAACACGAAATTGATACAATAATTTCCTAGCGTATTTCTAGTTAAATAACGGAAAACATTCTTTTCTCAAGTGTTATTTAATTATTTTTTTATAAATCATTTTAGTGTAAGTACATGTATTTATTTTTATAAGTTATTCTTTTTTGCAAAGTGTGTAAAAAACAAAATATCAGAGAGAGAGAGAAAGAGAGGGAGAGAGAGACTCTCATGTAACCCCGTGTAACTGACATACATGTACAGTACATCTGTGAAAAAATATATGTACCGTAATTTTATTGAATTCACAATTAATAATTCTAATAATTTTTAATTTTCAAAACTATGGTTCATATTCAACTGTTCAACCCATTTACATAATTATTCGTTCTCTGTATCTGTACGCACAGGGGGGGGGGGGGGGGGGGATCAAGGGGCTATTGAAAATGTTCATTGATAGACAGGATAAATTGCCGCCACCGCCACCCCCCACACCCACACACACACAGTTAATACTACGGTAAAGTTATATAAGGGAAATGTAGTATTGTATGCCAAGAAACTGGTACTGAAATAAGTAGCTTTTCAACTTTGGGCAGGTTTTTCTTTGCTTGTCAACTTTTCCAGGTACGAAAAAAAATTTCTTTGGCTACCCCCCCCCCACTTTTAAAGACGATGCTACGTACCTGGCTAATTCGTATAGCTTTCTAGAAAGGGGGGGGGGGGGGGGAGGGGGTAACAGATCCTTTATAAAATAATATATTATCTAAAAAAAATGCAAACCGTTTCCTTCTTTGAAAATTTTTAATACAGCGTACTGTTGATCATTATTTTGTTGGATTATCGTATTGCGTAGTCCGCGGAAGTAAGGCTAGTGTAGAAGAGTTCCGATTTTGAGGGGAGATAACTCACTTTTGAAAATGGGGAATAAGCATGCTTTTTAAAACAAAATAATCAAAGTCACATATGTTAAATAGCATAAACATTGATTAAAATTGCAATTTACAAATTTCAGGAATGTAATTAAGCATAAACATTCAATAAAATTCCAATTGTAATTTTTTTTTTTGTAGTTTTTAAATAAATCTGACTAGATCTCTATTGTAATGTATAGATTTAACCATGATACTGTAAGTCAGCAGTAATTATCACCATCAGAACAACAATTTATATCGACTGACCATTTATATGTGATATATGACATACATATACCATTAACAATATTACAGAAGACATTGAATATTCTTAGTTAAAAACTAAACCATGAAGATGTCTTTATCAATAACATAAAACTATGTATAGTCATAGGTAAAAGGGAGAATTAAATGATACTGTCACACAATTCGTGCTATTAACTTTGAAGAAAAAAATTATAATACTGTTTATCACATTTGTTACCCTCACCATTTGGTCTTTTATGATATATGTATAATATATATTATCTTCATTTATATCATATTAAAAATATTATAATGTATCAAATAATACTTTTAAGTAAATCATAACTATTACAAACATGTAATAAAAAAAACTTTTAAAGGTGATGTATTTTCATCATCAATAAAATAAATATCAGGCTATCATAACAATGCTTAACAATCACCAGATATAAATCTATAAACAAAACTATAAACAAAACAGCAGTTTGAGAGAAAATAAAATATTTTAAGGGATAAATGACTTTCATTTGTTGGCATGCAAATAAAAATGGATTTCACAATTTGTCTTAAGAAAAATTCTTTTTGTGTCTAAAAACTGTAAATGTTTTTTTTTTCAACTTCTAAAAAAAACTAAAAGCTTCTCATCGCATATTAAAGCAAAATATGTACAATGGGTTAAATTTGGGAAAACCTTTTCACACTGCATTATTAGTACAAAAAAAGTGCCACGCACAATTCTACTCTTTAATAATACAAAAGGGAGAAAATGCATATTGACAATTGTCAATAACATACAAATAAAAAAAACACAAATGCTTTATGTCAGCTTTGCAAGTGACAAAGGCATAAGGAAGCATAAGAACAGTACCAAAAAGTTACAGGTTCTTCATGTACATGCATGTGCTTATGAACATTATCAAGTACATACTAGTAATTAAGTAAAATATACATATGGACTATGTCTGAAGGTTCAATTATGTCAACTACCCCAGGGCAAGAAACAACACACAAAGCAACAAATCTCACTACTGATGCTACCCCAAAGCAGCAAATAAACTCCCCATTTACAGAAAAGGTAAATCTTTGTTGGTCATGCAAGCAAATTTATTTGTTACTATGGCTAATTCTTATGAATTCAATTTGATTAATTAAGTGGGAGGCAATATATTTAATTTTAAATCAATTTCTAATCAAAACTCGGAGGTTTAGATTTTTTCAACAAATTTCTTTTAAAAAATGTACCCTTGAGATTAAAGAACTTTTTTTTACATTTTTCAACATGGACAAAATAATGAATGCAGAAAGGTTGAACCAAATCTTACAATCCGTGAATAAAAAATCAAATTCCAGATCTGTCATAAAGCTTTCTCAGAGTAATATTGGACAAACTTTCATCAAATAAATAAAAACCTATATCTTGAACACAACTGTTCCTGATATCTAGATATCTTAACATCTAGCTACTTGATATATATTTCTTACATCTATTAGATATCCTAATATCTACTAGATATCCTAGTATCTAGTAGATATCCTAAAAACTACATCACACATCTGATTAAAATCCCATAAACAATCAAACTTCCTCCGCAGGCACACAACAATGGACGGTTTTATTGCAGTTTCGTTTTGAACACATTTGTTTTTTACTCTTTTCGTCCTTCAAGGATTTTTAATATTGCAGCACATTCTTCTTGTGCGTATTTAATGGCAGCAGACATTTCTTCTTTGACCTGTAACGATTTTAATATCAATAATCTGGGTACCTTTTTTTATCTGCAAGATAAAATAACTCCTATTTTCATGATGGAAAAATTTATATGATATCTTTTTGATAAATTGATTTGCATTGGTAAAGAATGGAAGAATTGATATTTTCCAAAGTATTCTGCACAAATATTGGTGGAGCATAATTAGATTTCGTTTATTTCATTGTTAACAATTATCAAAGAAATTAAATCCCACAGGAATTTTATATGACTAAATATTGAATAGGATTACATTCAAAACAATGAAATTTAATGCTAACTAAACTATTTTTGATGACAAATCAACGAAATTTTATCCCCATGAAAATATGTGCTTCTACAGTATATATTTGTTTACAGAGATAAAAAAAATGTAGACAACACAATTATATTTAAAGATTAATAAAAGTAAAACATGTCTTATTGAAAACTTGTTGTATGTACCTGAGATGTAAATTCTGGGTCCTTTAAGTCAGCTAGATTAGTGTTTACATTGTAAAATGTTCCCCATACACCAGTTTCTAACATTCTTACTCCAACCTTAAAAATAAATAATATGACATATTGAATTCAAATTTAATCTAAAGGAATTGAATTCAAATTTTCTTATCAAAGAATGCACATTTACAAATTGCTAGCATATAATCTAATCTCATTAATTTATAGAAATCAATTAAATAATCACCGGTACCAATATACATATTTAAGAAAAAAAAATATTGCGTATAAAAGGAGATAAAATATATGAGAGTAACTTTTGTGGAAATAATAAATTATTGTTTGTAATAAACACAAATTTATCCAATTACAACGCCACATTTCAATCTTATGGTATAAACTTACCTGCAGGTCTGATTTACAGTTAATGTTACAGATAGCAGCTAACTCTTTGATGGTCGGCCATAACTGATTGGCAATTCTAGACACGGTGAGTGGAACCTGTATTGCTGTCTTCAGACCTTCCTGCATGGCATAATCTCTCCTGGAAATTAAATACAAAAAAATACTATTCAAAATTTCATACATAGGGCAATTTATACCTCCTTTTTTTGTCCATTTTGCCCTAGACATAATTATGTGAATTTAAGATGGGGCAAATTCAAAGAAAACAGAATAATTTCGTAAACAGAACCATTTCTGATCAAATTTTAAAATGGGGCGGAATTTTTTGTACATGTGAAAGGACAAAAATAATCCTGAGTACATCAATATACTGTAGAAGTTCTTTTTTTCCGCGTGGTATTAATTTACACTATGTACATGGTCACAAATTTTCCGCAGATATTTGTCCAAGCGTACTTAATGTAAATGCAAGGCATATAGTGATAGTGTTAGAGATCCATGTAATTTTCTACCTGCAGATTAAACAGAAATTGAGATACCGCGGAATTATGTCCCCATGGAAAAAAGTACGTCTACAGTATATTGGTATGAAAAATCAGGCTGGTGCACAGAATTTTTAAACATTGAACTGAAAGTATACTTTACAAATTGGATAGAATTTGAAAATCCACTTGGTTTGGCTGACCTTTTGAGTGAGAGCATATAAAGATTTTTTTGGCTAAATTGCCAGTCCATACTTACATCATTCTATCTTCCTCTGTCTCTTTTGGCAATTTTGTTGCCAACTGAAAAAAAAATTCAACACAGAGTTTAATCATTCATGAATTATTTTAAAATTTTTTACAATTATGTTTTTTTATGTGTAGTTCTACACTGGACTTTTATGAGAAGCACTGACTTTTACGGTTGACTGTTTATATGGACATTTAAACCTGTATCGTGTACTGAGGTACAGAATTGAAAATAGATCAGAAAACCTTTCTAGTGGTCATAGTAATGGTGTTAGGGGCACTAAAACGTGAAGGCCGAGAGTTGGGGGCAGTATGGTTGTCGTTGTCTTCAAGGACAACTTATCTGTGCTTTGAAATAACCCGTTTGTTTTGTTGAATGAAATGTTGAGCTAAATATTTATATCGTAAAGGAGTTTCCGTACACTGTCCAAGTGTTAAAGTAAGTCGTCAACAGTAACGTCAGAGCTTCTTAAAAGTCCATTAATAAATATCTAATTTTTATTTGTTGGAGAATTTTTCTTTTAAAATACCATAATAAATAATATATTAATATATGCAGAGCAGAGCATGAAAACCTGATAATGGCCCAACTTACCATATATTCACTATACGCTGCGGCATCAGCATCCACAAACTGCATCAGGTCTTTCATGGCTTTGTACAGCGGGGGGATCAGTTCTCTCATCTTACTGTCCAACTCGTAATATTTCCTGTTTCCATAGGTCAGGAACCCCACCATACTACCAAGGGAGGCCCCCTTAAAATGGTAAGTAATACAAGATCACTCAACTACACTCCCGAGGGAGGCAACCTTAAAGTGGTTAGTAGTATATTATCACCAAACCATACTTCCAAAGGAGGTGCCCTTAAAGTGGTAAGTAATACATTATCACCCCATCATACTCCTAAGGGAGGGGACATTAAAGTTGTTAGTAATGTATTATCACCCAACCATACTCCGAAGGGAGGCACCCTTAAAGTGGTAAGTAATACATTATCACCCAACCATACTCCCGTGGGAGGTGCCTTTAAAGTGGTAAGTAATACATTATCATCCAACCATACATGAACTCTGAAGGGAGGCACCCTTTGAGTGGTAAGTAATACACTATAACCCCCATCATACTCTCAAGGGAGGCAACCTTAAAGTGGTACTTAATACATTATCACCCAACCATACTCCCAAGGGAGGGGGCATTAAAGTTGTTTGTATTGCATTATCACCCAACCTTACTCTCACAGGAGGCACCCTCAAAGTGGTACGTAATACATTATCACCAAACCATACTCCCAAGGGAGGTGCCTTTAAAGTGGTACTTAATACAATATCACCCAACCATACTCCCAAGGAAGGTGCCCTTAAAGTTGTTTGTATTGCATTATCACCCAACCTTACTCTCACGGGAGGCGCCCTCAAAGTGGTAAGTAATACATTATCACCCAACCATACTCCCAAGGGAGGTGCCCTTAAATTGGTAAGTAATACAATATCACCCAACCATACTCCCAAGGGAGGTGCCCTTAAAGTGGTAAGTAACATTATCACTCAATCATACTACCAAGTGAGGCCAAGTGGTAAGTAATACAAGATCACTCAACTACACTCCCGAGGGAGGCAACCTTAAAGTGGTAAGTAGTATATCATCACCAGACCATACTTCCAAGGAAGGCGCCCTGAAAGACCCAATTTTTTTACCATATGGTTACCTGAGGAAGGGGAGTGGTCGAAGTAACAGTGGTGTTATTTACCTGGAGACCCCCAATACCCAAGATGTCAAAAATCTGTGTATATGTAGCATTACACTGGAAGTCCGTGTTTGGTAATCAGGGTCATTGTTTTGTGTCTGGTTTTGAGTGAAACTACGTAAAATGATTATTTTAATATGCAATTTATTTGTAAACTTAAAGCATTCATCGTAATCATGGTAATGTTTTGAAAGAAAAAAAAATAATAAGATATATGTATATCGTTTTAGAAAATGTTTTCCTTACATAAAAGAAAAAATCACGAGTAAAAACTACAAATCAACAATATTTAAATTTTTTTTTTAATCTTCAATAAAAAAAAACATTTGATTAAAAAAGTATGAATATTGAAATAAATAGAATTATTAATCCACCTATCCGTCGTGCAAGTGACACGAACTTACCGCGATCGGAAGGTTTTTTTTCCCTGGCCAACAACATGAACAATGTTGTCCAAAAGATTCCATATTTTTTATTCTTCGTGTGTTAACAAAATTTTATTGTTAGAAAGATTTCTTCTTCAGAATTGATCACTATTTAATTATCTTCACATTTTCATTACGTATTTATACAGACGCTAGAGGAAATTCGAGCATTAATTCTGACATCAATTTCTGTACAACATCGTGCGGATTGTAGCCATAGTACAAATAAAACATCTTTTAAAAACTATTCTATGCCGTTTTTAGTGCTGAATATTTTTCTTATATCCCATTTCTTAAAAAATAATTTAAAACGTCAAACTTCCAATATTACGGCAAATAGAGCCGGTTTCTGTGGACGCGGTCTTTTTCCTATAGATAACGTGGACGATATAACACTTAACAAACAGCAGTGAAGATAGAAAAGAAATATTTTATCATGTCAATGTTTTAATAATCTACTTTCAATTATTTTTTAAATAAAATTCAAACATATTGGAGTTTTCTAACCTGCGTGTATACTCTGCGGGTACTTGAAAGCGTTTGACGCGTGACCAGGTAATTGTTTTCAAAACATGCAAACTCAGATTATCAAGAAGCACGGGTAGCTGATCTGTCAATCAAAACAGAAGCTATTGTTTTTTTTATGATTGACAGGCAGTAAATTATTGATCTTGAATCAGGTAGATTTTGGGGGCGTTAACATAAAATTGGGTGTTTAAAGTGGTAAGTAATACCTTATCACCCAACCATACATGAACTCCCAAGGGAGGCACCCTTTGAGTGGTAAGTAATACATTATCACCCCATCATACTCCTAAGGGAGGGGACATTAAAGTTGTTAGTAATGCATTATCACCCAACCATATTTCCAAGGGAGGTGCCTTTAAAGTGGTAATACATTATCATCCAACCATACAATGTACTCCTAAGGGAGGCACCCTTAAAGTGGTAAGTAATACATTATCACCCAACCATACTCCCAAGGGAGGTGCCCTTAAAGTGGTAAGTAATACATTCTTTTGAGTTTCCATTTGAAAGAACTGTATGAAAAAAAGGATCAGGCAAGACCATCTTTAAAATAAAGTTTGTTTACCCTCACACAACTTGGTGGGGGTGGGGGTGGCTTGAAAGGTAGGTGGGAAGGTTTTTTTTTAATACTGCATGAAATTCATTAAATTTTGATTAACACATCACTGCATGCACACTTTCTATTCATGAGAACTATATTTTCATGTAATTACATGTACAGTAGATCATCTTCCCTAATATATTTATCTTTTAAAAGAAGGATATTTACCTGTACATTGAAAAACAATATTTTCAAAAAGTTTGTATCACTAATAAATACCAAATAGTTTTCTACTGAGAATAAGGTATGGCAAATATTTGTTGATTTAAAGTATACAATTATTTAGAATTTTACTCACAAGACTTGCTGCCAGGGCTGACACAGAACCACCCCCAGGGGAGGGAGACCGTGACCCCACAGTCATCACAAAGTCTCTGACGTCCATGGATACAAGGGGCCCACCATCCGCATCATCCGAGATCATGTACCTGAATCAAATAAAATCAAACAACTTATGTCTAAAAAGGGTGACTTAATTTGAACAAAAATTACTTTAGTTTAAAAATTGTTCCAGTCAAAGAATTAGATCTGTGGTCTCACAATAAATAGAATCAATTACTTTTCAGTGGGAAACTTAAGTATTTTATCATGAATTTTGATATTAACTGCGACCAAATAAAGTCGGTCTAGAATTCTGCGTATAAAGGAAGGAAACTAGAAGTAAATTCATTAAATCCGACATACTCAATAATCCTCTCTTTGGGACTGAATGGTCCTAAGGAGTTTAATCCTAGTCTGTTAATTACCTACAATAAAAATAATAATAGTCTCAAGAGAGCAAAAAAATTATCTCGATTTAATTTTCACATGAGAAAAGGGGAGATAATGCATCTGCTCATGGATTATGTTTTTTTTTCCTAATATCTGATACATTAAAAGTAAAACAATTGACCCATAACATGTGATAACATGAAAGTTTCAGCTTCTTCAGAATGCACTGGAGGAAGGGTGAGATTAATCATCCAGAAAATTTAGAGCACAGATCACTTTTTAAGATCCACCTACCAGTCTGAGTTTTTGATCCTCCTCCAGAATAAATAAATTCTCCTTCTTCATGTAGTACTCCGCAGCTTGTAGAATGGCCTTTAGTGGAATCAGACCCACAATCTGTGATCCACACACTGCTAGATCCAAATCCTAAAAAATATATATATACATAAATATGTTATTTCTGTTAAATCACGTTTTTTTTTTGGGGGGGGGGGATTTTTCATTGTTTGTGTGGTACCAAACAGAGACCACAAATTCATATTACTTTCCACAATTTGTTTTTACATCATGCATTAAAATCCCCTCCAACCAGTAATTTTTCCATAAACCATGAAAATTTAACCTCTTTCTTTCTTAATTAAAGAAGAAAATTCATTAATTTTACCTCAAATTTTAGAGGTCAAGGGGAATAATTCATGACTATGCCTCCCCTCAAAACTATATATCTACTACATGTATATTTTGCATATAAATTTTTCACACTGTTAAAAATAACACAGAGGCAGCTGTCTGACCTTTGCGTCTTTGTTGACCTCCTCGTAGACTTTGTGTATGGGGGTCTCTTCGTGGTCTGTGATGTTGACCGACACCTGGGCCATATTGGCCTCCTCCAGGTACCACCCAATGGCCTGTACATGCTTCAATCGGCCAGGCTAAAATTAAATCATGGATGGAAACTTCAATCAATTTTATAGGTGGTCAGTCAAAACCATAAAGTTACATTTCATTCAAGATTGTTCTGTGAGACAATTATGCATCACACTCACAGATACAAATGGTTAATTCAGCCATGCAGCGAGACTTGTTTGGTTAGCAAGACATTATTATAAGTAACACATGGTTGAAAGAAGGATATAACAGTTATATCTGATTCAATAATAACAGTATCATACTTAAGAGAAATGGTATATGTTTAAAAATTTTGTTATTACATTAGCTCCCAGTTTATAAATCTCATCACATAAAGTTTTCGTGAAAAAATATAGTAAAGATGTTATATTTTACTGGCAATTATAACTCTAAAGAATGAGGCATTCTTTCATTACATGTGCAACTACATGTGCCTATATTGTGAAATCTAGAATTTTGAGAAATTCTGTATAAATATGTAACCATAATGAAATAAGTATATTATACTAGTACTGTAAGCACGAAAAGTAACAATTAGCAATTAGTATGCAAGGGAAATCTTTTAATAGTACATAAATAAATACCTCAATATTTCTATTCCGTATATACTGGAGTAATTATTCAACATAAATAATATACATTTAAATAACCATTTTTGTCTGAATTAATACGTTACATGATGGCATTAATAACAGAATTGCAGAATTGATCAGTAAAGCACATAGTTTTTCTACTGATTTGCTTATTGATATAAATAACATGATTGTTATGAATATCCATGTTTACAGTACTGTATTTGAAATACTAACATAAACATGCTGTTATATTCAACTATATAAAACAGACTTATAAGTACACTGTACATATAAATGCAAGTTCCTAAACCTGACTCCCTTAATAATACTACAACCTTAGGAAAAAATACATTTACAGTATATCTATTATTCAATTTTGGGGGAAAAAATAAACTTTTTTTCAAAAATGATATATTAATTGATACAATTTTAATTGCATTAATGGAGTATTTTTCTAATATATAAACAATCAAAGTTTATTATTTAATTTTTTCTCCAAAATATTTTTTTTGTATGAAATGCATTGTAAATATATCTTGGAAAAATAATGATATAAATTTCAAATTTATTAGCTAGACAGGACATAATTCAAACTTTATAGACTGCAGGTAGTCAAAAGGGAACTACACAGAAATTTTTGTTTTAAAATATAATATTATATAACTTTGTGAAATCCGATAATCTGATTGGTCAATACGAAGTAATTATTTTTTAATAACGACCGCTGAAAGCGAATTATGACTCGCACGAGCTGCCTCGTTTTCACTTTCGCTTTAGTCAAGCAGTTTGCAAGTTGTAAGCGAGGAAAATTTAAAAGATATAGTGAAGAACTCTGAAGGTGAGAATACAAAAGAATTATCAAGGATATCTTTTAGCATTTTTCGGGAATACTTACTACATATACCATTTCATTGTTGAAATCGACTTTTCCACTCGGCGAGCAGATTTTTGACGCTGTTTACGCGATTACGGACTCGGAGACTAAAGTAAATAAAGACAAGCATCATGTACGATTGTTTAGATAAATTAGCGTAGACGAAATCTATAGATGTTAATATTTTGTCAGTGCATTTTCCTTTGCAAGTGTAAATGAGTGCGATTCTAAGTCTGGGGAGGGGGTACTCTGTGTTATTCGGAGATAGATATCTTGTGTTATTATTATGCTTAGTTATAGGTTAAAATTTATTACCGAAACAAGTTCCTGTGAGTAACATTCAAAAATTCTGAAACGTTTATATTCAACTTATTTATGGTAAACACCATCTCTGTAAACATTAGGAAGATATACATAGTACTAATACATTTGGGAAATTATTATTTATATAATATAATAAATATGGACTCAATGAAGGTCAATATGCATTTATAATGACCCAGGATGGCAGATATTGACCTCAGATACATGGAGTATATCGACCTCGGGCTAGCGCCCTCGGTCGATATACTCCATGTATCTTCGGTCAATATCTGTCATCCTGGGTCATTATAAATGCATATTGACCTACATTGAGTCCATATTTGTATAATAACATTTTCCCATAAATATGGTCATACATGTATTTTCCTCAGCCCACTTCAAATTACATACTATGCAATCAAAGTTCTAAAGAAAGGTTAATTTTAAACAGCTCATATAAAACAGCACAATCTTAATCTATGGCATTTTTAGCCAAAAAAATATTTAGACAGCTAGTCTTAAATAGCAAAAACTTGATAATTAAGACTAATATAATCTCTAATCTGAGAGTGCATTTTGAAACTAATTTTCTAAAAATGTTCCATTAACAATCAAGTCTTTTTGTTTCTCAATATATGCAAGTACTCTAAACATGCTAAAGTGAATTTTGCATAATTCACATGGATCAATAATTCATTGGGATGATATGAAGAGATCATATCAGAGCATTATAACTCTTCTTCCAAAACAATAAGATTAGCAAAAATTAAGTGTACTAAAAAATTGAAAAATGTTATTTAAAACGTGCAGTGAGTATACAAAATTATACAGCAATAATATTAACTGCTCCCTTTGGATACATTGGACACTCAAAATAAACACAGATTAATGGTTCTCTATTGAGAAATGCACAGATAATGCTTTTTTTTTTATTTCAATCTATTACCTGGTATTGCCATTTAGTCCCATAGTTCTATAAATATCAGAGATTTTTTTTCTAACAAAATTTGAACAAAACAAAGAAAAGGCAAATATGTTTTTTTTTGTTGTTTTTTTTTTAATTTTTTAAATTTAACTTTATGTTTTTAATATGTATATACTTTCATAATTTTTAAATCTATCACATACAAAAAAAAATTTAACTGACAAAAAATGTTAGTATTTCACCGATTCTGACAAAAAAAGTGACTCATCATTTACTTATTTCATAAATTTTGTCTTAAAGTGATGTTAAAGTGAGCACATTTCACACAGATTTACATACCCCTTCAACATCAAACCCAGTTCCATAGCACTGTAAAATAGGGTTAAAATATTTTTTTTATCATGTAGATAAAGCTAAATAAAGAATTTTATTTTATAGGACATTTTCTCATACTATAAGAGTACATTTATATGCATGCATATACCACGTATACCTCACAATATGTTTGTTAGACTATGATGCAGATTTTTAATAATTGCAATTCAAGATTTTTTCTCTCCCTTGCAGACATTTCTGATAAAGTGACGTAGTGAAAAATTTTCTGATTGGTTAGCTTTTAAAAACCCATAATGCACCTCAGGATAAGGCTAATAAATTGTAAAAATTCTAAGTCTGTTTTTTTTTTCTGACCAATACTTAATTCATATCTTAAATTATTTTGTTTGATACCTGAAAATGATTGGCTCTGCAAGAAAACGTCATATGGGAGTGACCCAATGAAACTTCACAGTATGTGAGTGAATTTTTAAAACACTACAACATTAATTTACATAAAGTGTATTATTTCTATGTAGAACAAACTAAGGGTATATATACTGGAAGCTTTACAATATGATACACTGTAATTAAAAATGCTTTGTTAAACATATTTGTATTTTCCTGGTCTATGATATCAAAATCATAAATTACAAATCAGTACACTTATTACAGAGCATTTTGTTCCTCTTCCTGAACTCTTGGAGTCAGGTAGACACAGCAAACTGGTGTGGGAGGGGGGAGGGGGGGGGGGTAAATGGAGGGGGTAATAATACTTTGTACATATATTACTGGATAACTACACACAAACCATATAGCCAATTATCTGACCACAGAGACCATGATTTTGCCCCCTGATGACAGGGCAATATATAGGGCCTTACCTGTTCTTTGCCCCGGCCCTGCTCCCTGATGTTGAGGGCAATTCTGTGGGCCTGTTCTTTTGTAGAAAGGACATTAATATTGTAAGCAATCAGGAAATTCCTGGCACCAGTTACTGTGGCTCCCCAGTTCGGTACAAATTCGGGTGAACCAAAGTCTGGTTTCCAGTCCGGTTGGGATAACTACAGTCAGAATTGTGAAAGCAAAATTAAAATCACACTGTTCAGCATCAGTTCTATTCAGCATACTGGTGTTTAAGATACCAAAGTTGAACTGTACTATTTTCCTTTATTTAAACCTCCATGTTATAGTTTTCTGTCATAGAAAACTGTTATTGGTCTCAATCAAAGTAAATATAATCTGGGTTTTTTTTGGTCATATTACCTTCTCTGGCAGTCCTTCGTATTCTCCCTGTCGTATATATGGTAGGGACTTCCTGTCTGGATTCTCTGTGGCTTCTGCATACAGATAAACTACAAACAGAAAATCAAGGGTCTATACTAATGCATACAGATACAATACAAACAGAAAATCAATTGTCAATATTTTTAATTTAATGCAATAGTGCACATATTTCATACTGGGTCAGCTGACATGAGTGGTATTAAATATCCAATTTCTCAAAAAAGCATTGAATTATTAGTATCATGGGCATATCAAAATAACCTGCTTACTTTGTAGATTCTACACACACCAAAATTATATTCATGAAATGCTGAAACCAAAAAACATATCATTTGTTTTGTTAAAAATGCAGTGCTTTTTTCACGTTTATATGTTACAATCAAGTGGCTGTCAGACTGCACTACTGCATTGGATGTTGGAATTAGATTTAATACAGATTTTTTTTCTGATTAGAATAGAAAAATATATGGATTTACACTCTGAGTAGTGTTTTTTAAAAAAGAATTATTAAAAAACGCATTTGAACGAAAATAAAATAAATCAAGCGTTCATAACTTACAGTGTCCACACTGAACGCAATAAAAAAAAGTTGTAGTTAGAAAACATCAAATGCATTTGAATGCACATTCAACGGAAAATAAATCAGTTTGATTCGTATTTTAAAGACAAACAAATTATCGTTGCAATAAAACTATGTGTAGTATTTAAAAGTGAAATAAATCACAGCCTCTAAGTCGCGCGTCCACTTGTTATGAACGCTAAACATGTAGCTAGAGAACGAATACTTTGAGTACACGACTGAAAAACGTGTTCTAGATTGAACTCATGTGTACACAAAGTCCGGTGACGTAGATCGCAAATATGTGTACACAACCATGTGTTCAATGACGCTTACTAAATAGCAGTGTCCAAAACTGTCAAAGCTTGTTATGAACGGAAGCTAAGGTGAGAATTTTCTTTTTATGGTGTTAAAGGGCATTTATTGTTTGAAGTAAGTGGAATGGCATAAACTTAATTGTATTATGAACATTTATTCATCGATATAAGGAAGCGATATGGGTGTTTGAGAAAATTAAAGCCAGAAATACTCTTGAAACGAAACGACAAATGCCATGCAGCATGTGTCCTTTTTATGAACGACAGTGTAATTTTACTGTACGGAACATAATAACAGTTTCGCCATGCTTAGACTAAAGAAATAAATGAAATTTGTATCTGACACAAGAACAAATGCTGATCTCAGTGCAAGTCAGAACACAAAAAATGGTTTTAGACTTTTAACTTTTGTTCATAACAGAGACGACTCGAACTTGTTTTTGACATGCATCTAACGTTATGAACGAATAAAGAAGGCCAAATTTTCTGCTTTAATATTTGACCAGTGATACACACAGAAAATAAAACTAATTAAAATCTCTAAGACAATCAATTTGAGAGAATTTTGCTTTATTTAAGTATCACAAGGTGTGGGAATTTTAAAAAAAGGTATTGTTCATAACTAGACCCTGTAATGGATGTGCAGTTTCCAGAGTCCAAATTATGAACAGAAAACCATTTGAATAGTTTGGTTCAGAATTATTATTCTGTAAAATTGCAATTTCATTTTGAAAAAAAAATAGATTAATATTTTATAATAAAATGTTTATAAGCAGTAACAAACATGAAATTTAATGATTAAACAAATCTGCAATTGTTCATCATACGGACACAAATTGTATAATTTTTTTTTGTAGTCTGTTGTTATGAACATCTATATAAGACTTTTAAAAGATAGATTTTAAAGATTTATTAAAAATAACTGAAGAATTTTACTTGTCTGGAAGGTTTAAGTTAAAATGAGGTTTTAATAATATTGTTGTAGCATGGGGTGAAAAAATATATCAGAAACTTGGTTTGTTCATAACATGGACACTTGTGACACAACAAGAAATAGTTTTCATGCTTCATTATCACAAGGCTTAATTACATCTTTGTCTTACTATGTCATGTGTTATTTTTCAGATGATGGAGTCTGTAGGAAAAAGAAAGTGTCAGAGTCAGAAAAAGAGTCGGCCAGAAGAGGTACAGAGAAAGACTGAAAATGCAGGGAAAGGCAGATAATGAGTGGAAACCTGAAGACCCCGTAACACTTGTGAGGAACAGCACAAAAAGTGAAGGGAACATAAAAGAATACGAAACACAAGTGGCACTGAGTGGAGAGCCCCAGACCGAAGAGGGCCCAGCCATTATAAGTCAACCTGAGGAACCACAAGTGGCACTTAGTGGAGAGCCCCAGACCATAGAGGGCCCAGCCATTATAAGTCAACCTGAGGAACCACAAGTGGCACTGAATGGAGAGCCCCAGACCAAAGAGGGCCCAGCCATTATAAGTCAACTTGAGGAACCACAAGTGGCACTTAGTGGAGAGCCCCAGACCATAGAGGGCCCAGCCATTATAAGTCAACCTGAGGAACCACAAGTCACACTGAGTGGAGAGCCCCAGACTATAGAGGGCCAAGCCATTATAAGAACCCCAGACCAAAGAGGGCCCAGCCATTATAAGTCAACCTGAGGAACCACAAGTGGCACTGAGTGGAGACCCCCAGACCATAGAGGGCCCAGCCATTATAAGTCAACCTGAGGAACCACAAGTGGCACTGAGTGGAGACCCCCAGACCATAGAGGGCCCAGCCATTATAAGTCAACCTGAGGAACCACAAGTGGCACTGAGTGGAGACCCCCAGACCATAGAGGGCCCAGCCATTTGAAGAGCCCCATACCATAGAGGGCCAAGACATTATAAGAGCTCCAGACCAAAGAGGGCCCAGCCATTATAAGTCAACCTGAGGAACCACAAGTCGCACTTAGTGGAGAGCCTCAGACCATAGAGGGCCCAGCCATTTGAAGAGCCCCATACCATAGAGGGCCAAGCCATTATAAGAGCTCCAGACCAAAGAGGGCCCAGCCATTATAAGTCAACCTGAGGAACCACAAGTCACACTGAGTGGAGAGCCCCAGACTATAGAGGGCCCAGCCATTATAAGAGCCCCAGACCAAAGAGAGCCCAGTCATTATAAGTCAACCTGAGGAACCACAAGTGGCACTGAGTGGAGAGCCCCAGACCATAGAGGGCCCAGCCATTATAAGTCAACCTGAGGAACCACATGTGGCACTGAGTGGAGACCCCCAGACCATAGAGGGCCCAGCCATTATAAGTCAACCTGAGGAACCACAAGTGGCACTGAGTGGAGACCCCCAGACCATAGAGGGCCCAGCCATTATAAGTCAAACTGAGGAACCACAAGTGGCACTGAGTGGAGACCCCCAGACCATAGAGGGCCCAGCCATTATAAGTCAACCTGAGGAACCACAAGTGGCACTGAGTGGAGACCCCCAGACCATAGAGGGCCCAGCCATTTGAAGAGCCCCATACCATAGAGGGCCCAGCCAACAAATTTCAACTGGTTTGATCAAAACTGTATATACAGTTATTTTTTTTTATTTCTTTTCAGATTTGTAATTTGGAAGAAGAATATTTTTGAAATGTAATAAATTTATATTAAAACAGTGAATGAAAATAATTTGTCTGGTGCTTTTGTATCATTGGCATCTCAGGATAACTTTCAAGTCATTCACATACATGGTTGTTGGTCACACACGATATTGCTCTGGAATCTCCTCTGCAGGCTTGGTGATACTATTTCCAACTAATAGCTAATATGCATGAAATATATTACCAGAATTACTGCGGATTGGAATATATGTTATAACAAGTAACATGCAACAGAAGGTGGTTGAGTTAAAATGTGAATAAAGGAAACATCACTACCACTCCGGCCTTCAAGTGTCTTGGTTATGAACAATAAAATGAAGAAATTTTTTTGCAATAAATTTTCATTAACCAGTTAAAAGCTTAAAACATTACAATAAAATACATGGATGACAACACAGTATGTAAGGATGTGCATGTTCAGCAGGAGACTTGAAGGAAATTTATTCACTGTAAACTTCTTGATCCCATAATGTTGTTCATAACAGTGTCTAAAGTAAATCATTTCAGAATTGTTACAATAGGGAGTTGAAATTTGAATAATTAGTTTGTAAACTGTTACATATTACATAAAGGAGAAGAAAATGAATCTTTAACATTGAATAACAATTTTGTTCATTCAATATCACAAACTGAAAGACACTTGTTATGAACACAAGAAAACGTGAAGTTGCATTTTCAACCCTTTGTCAAACAAAAACTATGAATACTCTAGGTCTGATTTTCAAGATTTTAAAAGTTAGATGTCAGAACAACAGAAATATACCCCAAAGTTTCTGATTTAACAACTTTTATTTTTGAACATATTTGTAACATTCATGGGACCAGTATCAGATATGTGCACAATACATAGATACAATACAAACAGACAATTAAGGGTCAATATTATTGCATAGATATACTATAAAGATTAAACAGACAAACAGACAATCAATTCTGGTTGAAGAGTAAGGATTCTTTTTCAGGCCAGCAACTACTGCAACATTGGGACAACTGTTTATAATCATGTTTCTCTGAAAGACTGGTTGGGAGGTTCCCATGTCCCATAGTGGAACCTGAGACATAAGGAGCAACTCCTTACGCTGCGACTCCAGAGCAGACGCTCATATCACCGCACCACCCAGGCAGTACTCACTTGTAAATCATTTGTAGTAACATCCCTGCCTAACAAAATTACTGTACACAGGGTTATTTTTGCCCCATCTTATTTTCGCCCGTTTGCATTTGCAAACAATTTTGCCCCATTTTAAATTCGCCCAGTCATAGTTCTGTTTAAGAAATTATGCTGTGTAATTTGAATTCGCCCAGTTTTAAATTCGCCCAATAAAGAAGAGGGCAAAAGGGACGAAAATAAAAAGGAAGCAAAGATTTCCCTGTATACAGTATTGCAAACCACGGTTTGGGGTCCACAAGCTTCCTCAATAGAGAGGATCAATGTGAACAAACCATGGGTTACTGACAATAGGCTATCAAGGAACCAATGGATATTGGCATCTGATAAATTCACAACAGTGTATAATACAAGGTATACCTGGTACTCCGAGTTCTAGTGCGAGTTTCTCTCCAAATTCTTTGGCACACTCCACACACTCCTCCATAGTGACGTTCTGTACGGGGATAAATGGACACACATCCAGCGCCCCCATCCTGGGATGCTCACCTGAAAAACGTGAAAAATTAGTGAATCAAGTAATCAAAAAGTACACTACTATGTATTTAATCTAAATGAATTTACCCCACTCGCCTTCCCTCCTTTTTTATTTTCATGTCCTTTCATTAAATTAATTAAAAATACTTCATTTCATCTAAATTATCATTCTCATCTGAAGGTTTTATATCCCTTCCAGCCTCTCTTGAGCATTAACTATAAATTGATAGTAGTAAAATATTTTACTGTATCAAATGTTTGCATACCAAATGAAGGATACCCACAAAGTTTTAATTCAGTCATTCAAAAATTCAGTGCAGGCTCGGCAAAAATACACTTCATTAACATAGGTCAATGTTTAATTCTGCTTAAATGGATCAAGATATACTTGGACAATGAAGTTTAATTGACCTATAAATGTCTCTTGAGACTCTCTTAAACCAACATTACAAAGTCATTTCCATTTATTAAAAGACATGTGCATGCATAAATTACAAATACATGTACTGTATGTAGTTAGCCTCGCTCTGTTCATCTGTGTGTGTGTCTCTCTCCCCCTCCCTCCCTCTCTCTCTCTTTGTCTCCTCCCCCTCTCTCTCTCATCTGTGTGTGTGTCTCTCTCCCCCTCCCTCCCTCTCTCTCTCTCTTTGTCTCCTCCCTCTCTCTCTCTCATCTGTGTGTGTGTCTCTCTCCCCTCCCTCCCTCTCTCTCTCCCCTCCCTCCCTCTCTCTCTCTCATCTGTGTGTGTGTCTCTCTCCCCTCCCTCCCTCTCTCTCTCTCTTGGTCTCCTCTCTCTCTCTCTCTCTCATCTGTGTGTGTGTCTCTCTCCCCTCCCTCGCTCCCTCACTCCCCTCCCTCCCTCTCTCTCTCTCATCTGTGTGTGTGTCTCTCTCCCCTCCCTCCCTCTCTCTCTCTCTTTGTCTCCTCCCTCTCTCTCTCTCATCTGTGTGTGTGTCTCTCTCCCCCTCCCTCCCTCTCTCTCTCTCTCTCTCTCTCTCTCTCTCTCTGTGTGTGTGTCTCTCTCTCCCTCCCTCCTCTCTCTCTCTCTCTCTCTTTCTCTCTCTCTCTCTCTCTCTCTCTCTCTCTCCCTCTCTCTCTCTCTCATACTCACTGTCTTTATCTTGGTTTGGTTCCTCTCTCTCTCTCTCTCTCTCTCTCTCTCTCTCTCTCTCATCTGTGTGTGTGTCTCTCTCTCTCTCCTCCCTCCCTCCCTCTCCCCTCTCCTCTCTCTCTCTCTCATCTCTCTCTCTCTCTCTCTCTCTCTCTCTCTCTCTCTCTCTCTCTCTCTCTCTCTGTGTGTGTGTCTCTCTCTCCCTCCCTCCCCCTCTCTCTCTTTGTCTCTCTCCCTCTCTCTCTCTCTCTAATCTGTGTGTGTGTGTATCTCTCCCCTCGCTCTCCCCCTCCCTCTCTCTCTCTCTTTCTCTCTCTCCTCTCTCTCTCTCCTCTCCTCTCCTCTCTCTCTCTCTCTCTCTCTCTCTCTCTCTCTTTTGCAGTCTCTCTCTCTCTCTCTCTCATCTGTGTGTGTGTCTATCTCTCTCCCTCCCTCCATCTCTCTCTCTCTCTTTGCAGTCTCCTCCCTCTCTCTCATCTGTGTGTGTGTCTCTCTCCCCCTCCCTCTCTCTCTCTCTCTCTCTGTGTGTGTGTGTCTCTCTCTCTCCCCTCTCTCTCCCTTCCCTCCATCTCTCTCTCTCTCTCTTTGCTCCCCCTCTCTCTCTCATCTGTGTGCCTGTCTCTTTCTGTACAGTCTCTCTCCCCTCGATCCTTCTGTCTATCCATCTGTCTGTCTCTCTGTGATCTCTCTCTTTTATTTTCACTCTCTCTCACCTTTGTGTCTCCTCATATCAATAGCCTGATAAGCCACCCTAGCTCCATTAAGGGCCCCCTCTACGATGGCCTCTGGTGACCCTACAAATGTGTACACAGTACGATTGGTGGAGGCTCCTGGGTCAACATCCAGTAAATTACATCCCTCTGTTGAGGCAATAGCGTTGGCAATAGCTTCTATCACCTGTTATACAAATTTAAAATTAATCATCTTTTATCTTTGAATAAGTTTTACTTAATTAACTTCATATGCATGCTTTATACTGCGTTCCTGCTGGCAATACACATTATGCACTTGTTTCAGGACATCATGTTTGCCCCTGACTATAGCATTAAAGTTTTAACTATGCATATAATAATTATAACATTTTGGTATCTTCCTATAGTACATGACTCACAATGAGTAAAATTATGCCTAAAAATGGCACTGACATTATGCAAGTTCTCCACATGAGTAATTAACAAAGTAATAAATTTACATTCCATATACACACATGTTACTTGACATAATTTGTGATAATTAAGTACATGTATATCTAATGCACAAACCAGTTTTTTTCACACTGTCAGATTTCTGCTTGCATAATTTACAGTCTAAATTATGCTCTAAATATTTTTTTTTATATTTGATTCTTATTTTTTCACTAAATTCCTTATCTATGTGTCATTCCTCCAAGATAATTTATTATCTCAAAATTTCATAGCAAGTGCAATTAATTGCCCTAATTTGCATAAAAATGTGGTTCATAAAACTAAAAGTAGAACAATTTTTCTTTTATTATTTAAAAAAAGAAACTGGCTCATTCTGTGTTTCACATGGTACCTAATAAGAGTTTCTGTGTTAAAATCAGACGATCGATTGACGATAAGTAAATTGCACAATGCATTAATCTTGCAGTCTGCATGCACAATCATGCATGCACAACCGATATATATAAATTACCTACCTCTTTATTTCTGCCCTCCGAAAAATTCGGAACACACTCGACAATTCTTGGCATTTCTATTTTTCTGTCCCAGATTTTAAAATACTTCGTAGTATAATAATTTAGGAAATCTTATCTGTCTGCTGTCAGATAACTGTATTTTCTCACACTTTTAGCTGGAGCAGGTGCCTGATTTCCGGATTTTTACTTTGTGTTAAACGTCACAAAGCTTTGCGTTTCATCCAAGGCAATGCTGCAATGACGCGTCTCGTTTTGTGTGTGACGTTTTACTCACGACACCATTTTCATGGCTGACGGTAGCTTTCCCTAGCACATATTTTGCCGATTGTTGGCTAGTTCTGGACCTTTATACAAATTTAGACAGGTAGTTATTTGTTGAACGGGTTACCAACATTACAAATAGAGTGTTGACACATCAAATGATAAACTTAAAGCAACAAAATGGGATCTTGTTTGTAAATACGTACCACATATTTAGCTCGCCGGTAGTTTTATGTGATCCTATGCAACTGATTGATCACCAAAGGTCATTTGGGAACAGCGAAGGCAAATGTGTTGTTGAATTATTCAGATTAAGGCAATATAAAGAAGATAAAACGGAACAGAAATCTATTTATCATGCTAATACAAGGGACATAATGCTAATAAACACAAGGGTCAAACTAATACCAGGGAAGGCTGAATAATGCTGATTGGTTATTCTTGGTTGTAGAAAAATGCTATTTTTTAGTGCAGTTGTCTCTTTTTATTTTAAAGTAAACACAGTTAAACATTCATAACAAAGTCCTAATATGGACCAGATACCTCAAAATGGAATTATTTGCCTGACTGGAAGTGGCAAAAATTTATTTTGACATAAATGAGAGTGTAATCCAAGATTCCTCTGACTCTAAGTCTAACCCCTGCTTTTAATATTTTGACATGTGCAGGGGAGAGTCAGAGTGGAGGCTGGTCCAACTTCCAAGATGAGAGAAATCATTATAAGGGGATGATTCTTCTACAATTTTATTGTCATTAAAAGGATGTTATCGCCATTTAAACGAACCTGTTGCCGACAAATGAAGGATCACTTGAATTAGTTAGCCTTCTCGTATGATGTCTCATTTGTTGGCGATAGGTCCATTTAAATGGCGATAGCATCCTTATAATGATGATAAAATCGTAGAAGAATCATCCCTTTATTGATTTCTCTCATCTCGGAAGTTAGATCTGCAGCAAAATAAAGGTGTAAAATGTAAGCAGAGTCGCGACACCAGCTGGTGTCGCTGAATCCCTACTCTTAATATGGCCTCCACTATTACTCTTCCCTACACATGTCAAAATATGAAAAGCAGGGGTTGGAGTCAGAGGAATCTTGGATTAGTGGGAATGGTGCTTCTAACAAGTCTTAGAGAAACACACCAGTTAACTGTTGTTGTTTTTTTCCTTGACAAAAATAACTTTGATGTTCATGTAATACTCTGTTTACTTCACATGAAACTAAAAAATATTTGTTAATTTTAAAGTCAAACCAGAGAAGATGGTGCGTCCAGTAAAAAGGCGCAATTCCTCTGTTACCTACACCAAATACCTCATTGAAGCCATCCGATATATCAGGTAAAATAAAGCAAAGTATGTTACTGGTCCCTGTCGGGTGATAGTGCTTTAAAAAATAATAATGACCCTATATACAATATGAATGCTAAGATTTGGTTGCCTCTCTACAAATTACTTTATGTCTAAAACTCTTTTCTGCAATTTTCAGATATCAGAAACAGATCCCCAACATAGAGAGAATATCTCGCTACATGAACCGTGAGTATGGACTGGCGGAATCCTTCACCGAGAAACATCTCCATTACGCCGTCAAAGACAACATCATCCACTCCTACATGGCGGTGGGCAAGAAGGGCAGCATGACAGGGGTAGAGCAGGAGGGGTTCAAGATTCCAGAGGAAGAGGAGGAAACTGTATGTGTTATTGTAGCTTTGCATGTATTCATGTGATGTATTGTTTGCTCTTAGTTATTTCCCTTGGCCACCATCTTGGTGGTCATTCTGGTAATTTTTCCTCTGTTCTGCCAAATATAAGAATGTGTAGCAGAAATATTTTGGGGAATATCTGTATGGAATAAAAATTATGAAATAAAGGACGCTCTAACAAATGTATATTTTTCAGAAAAACAATGCTTCCTACCCCACAATTGCCAGTATAAAAAGTTAAAAGTTGGTTGATTAATGAAGGAATATAATCATGTTGACCTCCAGTATGGCGGCCAATGGGAAATAACTCTTGTCAATTTGGGTCTACTGATACTAGTAAAGTATCTAATATGCAAGAATTTCCTGAATAAATAAAATTTAAATCAAATGTCTTCTTTTTTTGACCAGAGAGGGGACCATGACTGGTATTGTTTTGAGTGCCACACGGCGGGGGACGTCCTGCCCTGCTCCGACTGCTGGAGGGTATTCCATCCCAGCTGTACCCTGGAGGAGTGGACCGGACCCAAATTCACTTGTAGTATTTGTAAGGTAAGAATAGGTACATGTCCGTCCAAGACTCTCTTTTATTACCATGAATCATCTGTGAGAATCAGCTTCATTTTAAACTCCTATTAAATTTTGTGTTTTAAAGTTTGTATAATTGTCACCCTCCAAAAAAAATCAATATTGAAAAATTTATTAACATAAAAATATTTATACTGCATTTTCTTTCTTTTTTTCTTGTTTTGGTTGCTCAGGACATTGAGGTAAACTTTACTCTGTTAATGTCTACATCTTTGCTTTCACTTTTCTATATTTCAAATTTCTTGAATGTTCATTGAAGATTATTTTGAAAGAGTTTATTTAAGATTTTTATATTGTTATTTCTTAGTTTTGTTGTTAAAAATTGAATTATGAAGTGATGAATCTTTAGGCCTCTGAAGCTTAATTAAAATAAGTTTGTTTTTAGGTAATTAACATATGTAAATGTTGTTATATTAAAACCTATTTCTATGGTGCACATTCTTTCTTGTTGTAAAACACATTCATTTGAAATAATGAATATTTATAAAAATGCCTTTGATATTTTAATAAATATTTATATGATGACAAAATGTCATAATTTCTGGTATTTGCTTTGTAATAAATATCTTATTCAGAACATTTGGGAAAAAAAAAATTGCAAGATGTTTTTTTTTTTGAAAGCCTATTTTGAAATTGCACTCGAATACTCTTTCAATATAAAGGGAAAGATGGGAGATGGCTTTTTGTTTATAAGGTGAAAGCAAGCAATGCTTTGGGTAAAACCTCTATATTATCTTGCATGCAAGCAAGTGAGACACACCCAGAGGTGCTTTACTTACATGTTTATTCAGGGACCGGTACATGCATATGTACATCACAGTACATGTATGCTATAGAGTATATTAAAATTAGAGTGCTAAGTTCAAGCAAAAGCATATGTCCCACAAATAACTTTCCCAGGCTTGGCTGTTATTGGTAGAAAATACGAGATAATATATCTATGAGTAGCCAAATGGTCATACTTTACCACACAAACATAGCAGGTTTAAAGTGTAAATGCAGAGTATAATTTAAAATATAAATACAGGTACTATTATTTGCCATTTTCTAGTGTTGTAAAATTCATATTCTTTGGAATTTTCTTTTAACTATTCTTGAGTTAAAATGGACTTGAAATCAGTGTGCAAAATAAAGTTACTTATGAAATAATTATACATGACTTTATATGAATGTTATAAATGGCAAAGAAAGACCATTTTAAGACATTATGGAAGGCGTTGTACTGCAGTAAACACTTTGTTATGGTCGCTTGTTGGCAATAAATTGATTGAGATATGCTTATATAATAGTGTATGTGACACCCAATTTTTCAATGAAATTAAAGCACATTAAACAAAAAAGTGTAAAATTCTTAACCATACTGAATATATACCCTTATAAGCATGTTGGTTGATAATTACAGGAATTGCATTTGTATACTAGTACATGTAAGTACTCCATATAAAATGTAATGCTTATAATGATGTGAAAATAATCAGGGAAAGATATACATTGTATAGCATTAGGTAATAAATGATTTTCCTTTCAATCATTTTTTTCCTTCCAAAATCTGAGATAGTAGAACGCTCTATTTGTTGTAAAACAATGAATGTTTAAGAAACAGTTGTATGGTTTTATAAAAGTGTATTAAACAGACAATCAAAACTCTAATATATTCTCTATACACTTGTCTTGTCCAGCTTTTTTTTTAATAATAATGTAAAAAAGTTTTGAGCAAATACCGTATATACTCGCCTATAAGTCGGTCCGCCTATAAGTCGGTTGTATTTTATAAGCTTATATATCATAGGACTGACCTCATATAAAACCATTCATTTCATAGCTCGCTTATAAGTCGAACATAGAGTTTTGGACCAGAAATTAACTCCCAAAAATCCAACTTATAGGCGAGTATATACGATATACCGGTATATATGTAGGATCTATATGAATCTTTTCATTTCCAGGCAGCCTAAAACCAGTATTTACATGTTTTATTGATTTCTAAGCATTCTAATTCAGTATTTCCTTGTTTTATTGATTCACAGGCAGCCAAACAGAAGAAGAAAATCAAGAGGAGAATGTTAAACACACTGTTAGGGTACACCATACAGAGAATGAAGGAAAAGGTAAGCATGGAGATCAAAGCAGGGCTAGATTTTGTAAAGGAAATGTGAAACATATATCTTAAGGAGTAAAAGCACCTTAGAAAGAAATTGAAGTACCAATCTAATTAAAATGAGATTTTCCATTTGCTCCCATATTTTTATATGTCGTGAGGAAGGATCTTCCACGTGACATATAAAAATTTGGGAGCAAATGGAAGATCTTATTTTTATTAGACTGTTGAAGTACTTGAATCTTATCAATGTACTGTATATCGGGATTTTTGCGTGTGTATCCAATTTCTGCTTTGTTCATGATGAGTTCTGAATCGCGGAAAATAAAACAGCGTAAATTTAATACAAAGTTTTCTTCTTCTAGTAGAAGTATTTCTTAATGCTTATATCATAGAGGGTAGAAATAGCGGGATCAGAGGACAAGCGCAAGATACCTGTAATAGGTATAAGCCCTTATTGTTTGTTTACTAATTGACAAGCTAGCTAATTATTTTGGTCAGTTCTTTGCGAGAAGCTATTAAACTAATTAGACTAACTGATCTGCTAGTCAGTTTGGAACAGTTAATAACCTATGATTGTTTAAATCTTAAAAAATGATAGCTGTGGATTTGAAAGTTCGTACGCAACACAGGTGTGTAATCAGCTAAGTGGGTCTTCCGAAATTGACAAGGTGAAGGTTGATCAATCTATTTCTCACCCGTATGAAGTAACTCAAGCTTAATGACTTTACATTTTTCATCCAATTCCTTCATAGGCTTAAACATTTGTTAATAATATAATCAATGGGAATTTGAAATAGTGAAAATTTGATTCACGTAAATTTAATATACTGATTTAGGTTCTGATTCGTGGAAAAAAACAGGACTGGAAAAATCCTGATATATGGTATATTTATGCTTATCATAAAAGAATAGTTATATAGATATTTATTTTTAAATATACTTGAGAAGTTTTATTATTTTTATGATGTTGATCACTGGAGCTTGAACATCACCTAGCTAGTGCCACCGGTCAAAATCGCCACCAGATGTGTCAGTCAATGCATTGCAATAGAAAATAGCAAAAGCTAACAACAAATTGCTTTGATTTTTCTTTTTGGGTATCAGACCAAAGAACTTCACAAGATAGGACACAGAGAGCAAGAGAAGAAATTTACAAACTTTTTTGTGTATAAGACAATGGATCTCAACCACATAGAGATGAGAGTGGACCACCAGAAATACAAGACAGCTGAAGAGTTTCTAGCAGACATCCAGCTCATCTATCACAATGTGTACCTCATCTATGGAGGTAAATACACTATGAATGATAAAAGGGAGGGGGGGTTAGGAAGGCATTTTTTGAAGTGATTTGTGAAGATGTGATTATATTAGATAGTTTTGATTTTCTTAGTTTTAAGTTGGGAATTACTGCTAACTGTTGGCCACAAAGGTGTTAATTTTGATTGGCTTAAAAAATCATTGCATTTGATTGGCTTAGGAGATTAGCTTGAAAGTCACTGCTTTTGATTGGCTTGGGAGTTATTTTTGCTACAGTTATTTTGATGAGGTTCATTGCTTTTGATTGGCTTAGGGGTCATTTTTTTTATTGGTCCAGAACCCTTGCTTTTCATTGGTTTGCTTTTAGTTGATGTAAATTATTATACCCCACGCAACTAGTTGCGGGAGGTATAATGTTTTTGACCCGTCCGTCAGTCAGTCCGTCAGTCAGTCAGTCAGTCAGTCAGTCCTCTTTTTTTGTCAGCGCAACTCCTCATAAACCCCTGCACAGAATTTCGTCAAACTTTGCAGGTATTTAGGACACAATGTGTAGATGTGCATATTACCAGGAAATTCCGATTCCATTATTTTTTCCGGGAATTTCCGCACTTTTTAACTTAGGCATTTTCATACTTTGAATATAGAGATGAACAGTTTGTCAGCGCAACTCCTCATACACCGCTGCACAGAATTTCGTCAAACTTTGCAGTTATTTAGGACACAATGTGTAGATGTGCATATTACCAGGAAATTCCGATTCCAATATTTTTTTTCGGGAATTTCCGCACTTTTTAACTTAGGCATTTGGCCATACCTTGAATATAGAGATGAACAGTTTGTCAGCGCATCTCCTCATAAACCGCTGCACAGAATTTCGTCAAACTTTGCAGGTATTTAGGACACAATGTGTAGATGTGCATATTACCAGGAAATTCCGATTCCATTATTTTTTCCGGGAATTTCCGCACTTTTTGACTTAGGCATTTGGCCATACCTTGAATATAGAGATGAACAGTTTGTCAGTGCAACTCCTCATAAACCGCTTCACAGAATTTCGTCAAACTTTGCAGGTATTTAGGACACAATATGTAGATATGCATATTCCCAAGAAATTCTGATTCCATTATTTTTTTCGGGACTTTCCGCACTAAATACTTAGGTTTTTGGCCATACCTTGAATATAGAGATGAACAGTTTGTCAGCGCAACTCCTCATAAACTGCTGCACAGAATTTCGTTAAACTTTGCAGATATTTAGGACACAATATGTAGATGTGCATTTTCCTAGGAAATTCCGATTCCTTTATTTTTTCCGGCACTTTTTGCACTAAAAACTTAGGCATTTGGCCATACCTTTTACATAGAGATGAAAAGTTTGTCAGCGCAACTCCTCATAAACCGCTGCACAGAATTTCGTTAAACTTTGCATATATTTAGGACACAATATGTAGATGTGCATATTCCCAGGAAATTCCGATTCCTTTATTTTTTCCGGCACTTTCCGCACTAAAATCTTAGGTTTTTGGCCATACCTTTTACATAGAGATGAACAGTTTGTCAGCGCAACTCCTCATAAACCACTGCACAGAATTTTGTTAAACTTTGCAGATATTTAGGACACAATATGTAGATGTGCATATTACCAGGAAATTCCGATTCCTTTATTTTTCCAGGAATTTCCACACTTTCCAACTTAGACTTTTTGGCCATATTTTGAATATACAGATGAACAGTTTGTCAGCACCACTCCCCTTAAACTGTTGTACATAGTTTCGTCAACCTATGCAGATATTTAGGACATATTCTATTATTTTATCCCAAAGAGTTTTGCCTATTATTCAAGAAAATTTCTCCCCCCCCCCCCCCCCCCCAAACCACTTCAAATTAATGTTTGGATTTGTATAATGCCAAGAAATTTTGATTCCATTATTTATCTAGAAACTTCATTCCACATTTAAATGTCCTTATATGCAAGACATTTTGATGTGAAGATTTTTTTGCAATTATTGCCCTTTTTCATCTATACTATGTATTTAAAGTGCACTAGCTGTGCCTTTCATTATGTGTTTCACCGTCAAGTTTTGGGGGAGCGTGGGGTATGTGAGCTAGCTCACTTTTTCTTTCATATTGGATGTAAATATATTACACTGTTATAGAAGTAAAATTAAGTTTATATTTTGAGATTCCCTGGAATGTGATTTTAAAAATTATTTGTAATTATTTATGTATATATATATATATATATATATATATATCATTTAATGAATCGCACAGTTTAATGTGCAATTTTTTTTATTTCCAGAGGAAAAGAAAGGAATGGTGGAACTAGCCTTTATTCTTGTTAAAGACTGTAAATATGATGTTAGTGTTATTAGTTCTACATTTAGTCTACATGTGCTTATATAAATCGGATAGCTATGGCTTCAGATCCTGGTCAAAGATTACATATACAGGGTTGTCCCCAAGAATTAAAATAACAATGCACAATAAAAAAAAAAGTAGAAGGGAGGGGTCTGGAGTTCCTCCCATAATAGCAGGAGATTGAGGAGGAACAACAGAATAAAGTTCTGGCATTTATGTTATAACAGGTGGGAAATTCCTTGATCCAAGGGTCTTGGGGAAAACCCTGACATGTGTAACAAATGCTACATATGTATTTCAATTACCTGGTATATAAACATGTGGCTATCAACAGTCTTTCCTTTGTTAGATAGATCTTGCAACGTAAGGAAGTAACATTTTATATACAGTATTTATTTTCTTGATTTTAGATAGATGAAATGAGACAGTGTCAAAACTGTTATTATATGTCCAATGCAAAACCTAAAGATTGGTTCTGTCAACCATGTGTAAGTATTCTAGAATTCTGTTCCATATTATAATATTTATGAGGAAACACTTAAAAAGTACATGTACAGTTGAACTTCAGTATCTCAGACATGGATATCTTGAATACCATGGATTTATCTAAGTCATTTAGAAGTATAAACCACTTATTCTTTATGTATTTTACCCTGGATCTGTCGAATCCTTGGTTACTGTAAATGTATTATGTTTAGCTTGTACGATATTTGGCGGAAATTGATTTTTGAACGAGTTAATGTAGTTTTGATTTAGCGCATTTTTAAATATTCTTACTTATGTATATATGTGCAAGACATTTAGCATTGTACTTGAATTAGCGGGAGTTCCGTACCACTAAAAGTGCTAAAAAGAATACACAGCCAAATGTAATACGTTTACAGTATCTTGAAGTTTTTTCTTGGTCCCTTTGAGTTAGGGATAATGTGGTTTGACTGTATGTGTATTTAAATCTATGAAATAGATGCATTATCAAACAGATATTAAGAGCCATTCTCTGTATTGACTTGAACTTTTATATAGGAGCTGTGGCACGCATAGTCTCAGAATTTCTCCAAACTCTGTATGATAAAAGTCATTGATACCTTAAACTGAAATCAGGCAAAAATTGGTTGCTATGCTTTATAGTTACCATGGCAACATGTCTTAAAGTTTGAAAAATGGACTTTTTTAGCATGTTTAGAGCCCCATAGTTAACATTTGCGGCAAAGCAAACAATTGGCAATGACTGTTTCCAAAAGTTGAAGGTCAGATTTCTCGAATGCATGATAAACATGTTTGGTAAATCAACTATTACATATGTTACTATGGTAACAAAGTATTCAAAAGTAAAAAAAAATATTCATTGAATTTTATAAAGTCATACATGTAAAAATAAAAAGCAATTATAGGATGAAATGTGACAAAATAATAGAAAAAAGAGCCTTGAAACATATACCAAGAACAAAATATGATATTTCATTTTGGTTGGCAATGGTTGCCAAGGTTTTTATACCACAGAGAGCCTTCAAAGTAACACTGTGTATGTTTAAATCTGATTCTATCTTTTAAAAAAGCATATTTCCTCATAACTAATGATCAATTTTTAAAGATGTTGGTGTGCTCCTAGTTTTCCCATTTGAAAAAATTCAGATTAGATTCTTTAAATAGAGCGTTGCTATGGAAATACGCAGAAAATATATGCTTAAAAACCGGAAAATTATATTCTTTCCTTGGATACGAACCCTTAAGTGTAGATTCCCAAAACTTTTATGATTGATATTTATTAACAGCTAACCTGACTTTTAATTTTGACTATCATCCAATCTCTAAGTGGATGCAAGAAGTTGTCACACAGGGTTTAATATTGATATAAAGTTCACAAAATCGAACATTTTCCCTTCTTGGTAACCATAGCAACAGTGTTGTTTTCTTCATCAAATTTTATCAATATATGATATTCAACTTCAGTTCTAACAGATAAGTACTATTCAAGCTGAGTCCTTTAATTTGTTTCTTGATTATATGGCAATTTAATTCTTAATGCAGCGAAAAATAATTCACTTTTAAGCACTGGTACTTTGTTTCCATGGTAACACTGCAAAGTAGCAATTATACCCAATTTTTCTTATGGTTTTGGTGATGCAAGGTCATAAAGATGCATATTTGCCAGTCTTGAATTTTCATGTTTTTCCTCAAGACAGTAGCATTAACCCAATCTTAGTTACTGGTTTTGCATGGTTACACTGTGTTACCATGGCAACCATAAAAGTTATTTATAGAATAATATTGCTTATACTTATATACTTAAGGTCAAAAATTTTCATTGTTTTTCTTAAGTCGTTTATTGAGTTTGAGCATGTAACACCCACCATTAGTGAATACGGAGTGTTTTTCAGCATATTTCAGCATTTTAAATGTATTCCAAATGTACCCTTGGTTACCACTTACTTAGAGATATATTCTAAACAGTTTCTTTACAGTATAAGTGACATCATGTTTTTGTGAGAATGATTTGTTTGCTTTTTCTAGTTTTTATTAAGCCACAGTTAAGATTTAAAGTGGCTGAAAATCTCGATTTTTCAAACTTTTCCGGCTGTTGCCATAGCAACCGAGACACATAGCAACGAAATTTCGTTTGATATTTGTTTCTGGTGTCAAGTACTAAGCAGGGGTGAAGTTTCATCAAAATCGGTGACCATGCGTGGCAACGAAGTTTAAGTGGTTACAGAGAATGGCTATTAACATTCATTGGAAATTGACTTTCACCTATATCTGCTAACAAAGCTGTTGAAAAATTGCTTATATGAATTAAAAGTCACTATTCCCTATCTAGCTTGCTACACAAGATTTCATTGCTTAGCAAGATAGGTGTACATTTCTGTATACCCTACTTTAGCTGTTGGTAAATAAATTCAAGACACAATGCATAAAAATAAAATAAAATACATGTAACATGATGTCACGATGCATTGTTAGCATGTTGTAAATCTTGTCAATAGGTTGAAACACAGTTGATTGGCCTTAGGTTTACAAAGAATTTATCTGGCTGGGTCCAGTTTAAGGTGTTTAGGAATTTAACCCAAGTTGTGTTCCATACACCTTTCAGTCTTTAGCCTCAGTATGTACAGTATGGAATAAAACCCATCTAATAAATTCCCATACACATTTTATTAAGCCTGGATAACTAATAATATGCATGTATCAGTGCATCGTCGCAAACCACGGCCAAAATGTACGCTCCTCTCCCATCTGGCCGTGGTTGAACGAGGAGAGAATTCTTCGTAGCTCATTAAAATATTGACCAATGCCAGTAAAGCATAGTCGGATGATGAACTTGATCGCGACCTTTCAATATCCAATCGCAGTAAAGGAAATATGTTTTGTGTACTGTTGACGTCAGTTGTTGATTTGGATTGCGATGGAAACAAAACTTGCCACTGACTGAATGTGACGTCACAGTAGAGAGGCGTAAATATTCAAGATTACAACACTTTTTGTTATCAAACAGCCACGGGTAGGAGAGAGCTATATATGCGGACTCCAGACAGTGGCTTGAGACGATGGTATCAGCGTGTATAAGAGAGAACTGTAATTTGTTGATGATTTGTTTTTTGTAGAATCCTCCACATGAATTAGTGTATGCTAAGTTAAAGGGCTACTGTCACTGGCCGGCCAAAGTCATACGACACGTAGCAGATAAATACGACTGTAGATTTTTTGGGGCCCCGCATCAGAGGTACTTATTGTTTTCCACTACCATGATATGTATAGATATATATGACTGATTAGAAATATTCTAGAATCTTTAAGAATAGAACAAGTTCAAAAAAGTATTTTAGATTGAGAAGGAATTTATAGCAATCACTTGAATAAAAATTGTGTTTTATTTTTCAGAGCCCTTATACCAAAGGATATGATAAAACCAATAGAAACCAACATAAAGACCTTGACAGTCAAAAGATCTGCAGGTAATTACGTATTTGTAGCTTTGCCTATATTATAAAATCAGAATATAAAATTTAAAAAAAAGATTAATTAAAAAGACAAATTAAATTGTCTTTGAATTTCATTTACTTTTCTGAGTGGTGAAAGTCTAATGGCACTTAAAATCTTTCTCAAACAATTTTGGTTGATTAAAAAACTTTATAAAGAAAGAGAAAAATGTTTTCCAAATTTTTGGGAGTGAGAAGAATTTACTATAATTTATTTGTGATTGAAGGTTTTGTGAAGGCCTGTGAAGAGTTAGCTAGACATCAGAGGTTACTGGCGGAGAAACATTTCACAGCAGACTCCGACTCCGAGAGCCTGGAAGGGAGCGACAATGGACCAGAACGAATGGAAGAGGAGGAAGAAGAGGAGGAGGAAACCAGTCCACTGGAGGTCAGCTCCACCAGTGTTAGTCCAATGAAGAAGAGGATCTGTCTTAAGGTGAGTGAAGCTCCACCAGTGTTAGTCCAATGAAGAAGAGGATCTGTTTAAAGGTAGGTGAAGTTCCAGGAGTGTTCTTCCAAATTAAAGTCTGTACCAGTATCAATCACATAATTATATAATAGCTCACATTCTTCCAGCTTTGCAAGGTTGTTGTTTGCTCAATCTAGGATAATTTTTTGTTTGTTTTTTGTTTACATACCCTTTATATATCAGAAGATAAGGCTTTTGATCACATTTAATTTTTTGTTCCCCAGGCCCCCACACCAGAGGACAGTAATTTAGTGACGTCTAGTGAGGATAAAGTCCCTAAAGTGATCACACTAAATGCCTCCAGTCAAACCATCACAAAGGTTAGTAGTGTGCCTATGATCTTCATATGTTTTATTATCACTGTGTATACTTCAATCCACAAAAATTTTGACCTCACAGAAGTGGGTGATCTGTATTTTTAAGTATTTGAGAATGTTTGTTTTAGTAGCTCAGTCTTGTGTACTAAAATACCTGTGTATCACTACAGTTAACCAAAAGTCAGAGTATCCAGACGGAACTAGAACCAAAACCAGATTCAACCGATTCTAAACCAGAACCAGCTCTACCAATGCAGTGCAGTCCGGATGCCTCCGACGCCAAGAGTGGCGATGAGGAGGCCCCCGTGCTGAGCCCCAGTAATGAGGCCAGCGAGGAGAAACCGCCAGAAACCATGTGTAACTGTAGTGAGAAGTACGAGAAGATCATCAGTGATTTAGAGGCCAAACTGGAAACAGCCCATCAGGATGAGAAAGAGAAGGCCTTAGAAGAACTCTCTGATAGGGTAGGTGTAGAAAAGAGAAGGCCTTAAAAGAGCTTTCAGATAGGGTAGGTCTAGAAAAGAGTAGGCCTTAGAAGAACTCTCGGATAGGGTAGGTGTAGAAAAGAGAAGGCCTTGCAAGAACTCTCGGATAGGGTAAGGTCTAGAAAAGGGAAGGCCTTAGAAGAGCTCTCAGATAGGGTAGGTCTAGAAAAGAGAAGGCCTTAGATCTAGAAGAACTCTCTAATAGGGTAGGTCTAGAGGTCTTATTGGGACTGATTTGTTCACAAGACATGTTGGGACTGATTTGTTCACAAGACATATTGGGACTGATTTGTTCATTTCCTTATAATTGTACAGATATGTCCAGTTGTCTTTTGTTGAACAGTTTATTAGACATCACGGTGAAGAGTAGAGGCCTTTCTTAATAATGATCATTGTATGTTTATTGTATAATGTTACAGGAAAGAAATGGGCAATACTGTTGACAAACATTTCTTTGCGATATCTTTTATTCATCATTCTTCAATTTGAAATCTAAGAATACTTATTTTGGCAACCAAGGCAACATCTAAAATCTGTAGATGAATTCACTTACGAAATAAGATATCATTTTTAGAGTGTCATTGGGGTATAACATGAAGTCGGTCACGTGATCAAATTCTATAATGCCCGAAGGGCGTTATAGTAGATTTGATCACGTACCGACTTCATGTCATACCCCAATGAAACTCTAAAAAATGATATTTTATTTCTTATATTTATATTTTACATTTTTATTTGTGTTACAAAGAAATATAGGTATTATTTAGACTTTGATTTTGAAATACAACGTAACGTATCTACGACGTTATGTGATGTCACGGTCGGAACTTTCCAAATTGCTCGTGCAGTTTGCTTAATGTCTGATCATGTGACCAATTGCCATGTCATTGAAAATTGAATCTCAATTTTATTAGCATTGTTATATAAGGAAAGACATCAGCAAATGTAAATATATGTAATTGGTTCCCAATGAAAAATATTCATGAATAAAAGAAAGCCACAGAAATTTCTATCTTGAAAATAAACATGATAAAAGTTGGTCCACAGTACTAGTAGTTTATTTATGTCCAAAAAACATTCAGTATAGTTTTTTCATAGCACTGGTTTTCACTGCTGAAAAATATTTCGGCACATGGCATAAAGAAATTCAATGCATAGAATAGATTACAGATATTCTCAAAGTTTTCATTTGATTACAGCTTCAGAAAGACTTTGAGGAGGACAAGCAGCAAGCTGTGTCTCGAGCCATGGCAAACATGAATCGCGAGATTGAACGTACAAAACAGGCCACAGAGGAAAAATGCAAGAAAGAGTATATGGAGGAAATGAAGAAACTGGCAGCAAAACATAAAGATGCAATATCTGCTACCAAGAAAAAGCAGTGGGTAAGTAGCTAGGCTAAAAGCAATGTCAAAGGTCAAAAGCCAGAGAAGATAAGGGGGTGGGTAATTTAAGTAAGACCTTATTTTTATTAGATGAGAATAAATGTGTAGATTTTATATTTCTGGAGAAAAAATTTGGTTCTATAATAGATTTATGATTCTTTTTAATGCTACTCCTAAATAAGTCTTTATTCTAATCTTGGACTGATTAGAATTTTAACTGATTTCTTTTTAGTGCTATAACTGATTAGAATTGTGACTGATTTCTCTTTAATGCTATAACTGATAAGAATTTTGACTGATTTCTTTTCCTTTTTAGTGCTATAAGTTTTTTAACTTTTGAAGGATTTCTTCTTACTGCTATAACTGATTAGAATTTTGACTGATTCTTTGTAGTGCTATAATTGTGAGGAGGAGGCAATGTACCATTGTTGTTGGAACACTTCGTACTGTTCCGTCAAGTGTCAGCAGGAACACTGGCACAAGGAACACAAACGTGTGTGTCGACGGAAACGGTAGCCGTTCACCAAAAACCGTTCATCTACCAGAGGAGAAAATCTGACAGGGAGACATTAAAGCACAGTGCTATTTACAGTGCATTCGTTCTGTAAGAGACCAAGTACCTGAAGGATAGAGATTTGAATACTAGGAGAAAAAAGACTGGCCATGGGGAATCTGTTGCAGCAGACTCGATTTAGTTCACCATATAAAACTGTCACCCATTTGATTGACAGTTTGGCGTACATGTATTTTATATAGTAATAAGATTTCTATGATGAAAAATTTTACCTAGCTTTATATCTGGAATAGAAACTTTTGATCAATTTTACATTTAATTACATTGAATTGGAATTTTTTTTTTTCAAATTGAAATATTGAGGAATTTTATAAATAATATTTTTTCAAGAATAATTTTGTATGCCTTCACTACCGCAAGGGACAAGTGAATGAAACTGAAATAGCACGTATTCCTTAGCAGTCAGTGAAAGGATATGTTTTTGTACAGTACTTTTAATCATACCGGCCATATATATTTGTTATACATGTATAAACAGGTCTTCATTGCAAACCATAGAATATTACACAGTCATATTTCATTGTAGTAGTAGCACAGGGAATTTAAAGTCCTTTGCATTATTTATATAGAGTGTAATTATTTATACATGTGCATAGCAAGCAAATCCTTTTACCTTTTCTTTTGAACTATTCCAAGGATTGTGAATAATTAAGTACCTGTATATAAATTATAGTTACTTATTTTTTTTTAATATATTGCAAGTAGAATGTTCTATGTTTTCAAGTTTTGAAATACTTGTATGAATTTATTAATTTGTAGATTTTTTTCCATTGAAAAAATATCGATTTAAGAGAAAGTGTTACTGAATTGATACCTACCATGTACTAGGAGAAGGCTGATTTGCATTGAAAACTCTGATATCTTGATCATTGTCATGTTGAATGCCTGGGATTAATTGAGAGGAGTTGATTGTCTTTTAATACTTTGTTATGATTAAAACCTTGTGTTTGTTGATTTGAGAATATCTTAAAAGAATACTGTATGTGTACTTAAAAAAGCGGGCTTCATAATTTAGCGGCTTTGGCACAGACAACATTGCAGTAATTCATAAATACTGTTAAAAAATCATTTATACCAGTACATGTAATATAAAGTGCGGACATGTGTAGCGCTAATTCATGATTGTGCTACCCAGTGATTGCGCTAAATGTTGAATACTCCAATTCATGTACACGTACAGTATTTTCGTATTTTACCATGTATATCAAAGATATACTGTATGTTCTCATTTTATACGAGAATTTGTTCAAGACTCGTGCTCGGAATTTACAGCAAAAATGTTTGCAGAAAAAGCTAAGCCAACTAGACTTGGAGTGCATTTTCGTAACTCGTAAATGCTGACTTTGTTTTAAGATATACTTGAGCACATGCTGATATACGTAGATTCTAAACAGAATTATTTTTGTGTTGATCGTCACACATTTTAGCAGAGGTAACATTAGAGATATAAGTATCAGAAAGACCCTTTCATTTGCAGCTTATACTTTATGTTCTTACTTTTTCTTGTCAAAGGTAGATGAGAATGTTTTGATTTTTCACAATTTATCATTTTTGTAAGATGATAACACTTGTATGAACAGTTTTAGATGAAATGTTTTAAATTTTTCCTGTATCAAGATTTTTTCGATTTTGATTATGACCACCAGACTGATAAGAGAAGGCAATCCATACATTTACAAAACACAGGGTTATTTTTGCCCCATTTTAATTTCAACTTTTTACTCTTGCAACCAATTCTGCTCCAAATTAGATTCGCCTAGTGACAGTTCTGTGAAAGAAATTATACTATTTTCTTTGAATTTGGCCTGTGTTAAATTCTCACATTTGTGTCTGTGCCAAAGGGGTGAAAACAAAACAGAAGGGAAAATTTACAAGTTTACAGGAATTAAGTGTTATATAGACATTCTTTATTATCCAAGTGTTCCACATGCTATATACGTGTGCATTTGCTACATGAATGAAATTTGTTTATTTAAAGTGGTAGAACCATACTTGGATTGTAAAGATTGGTTTGATAATACCAACAACTCTTGAATGATTGAAAACTGTTCAAATTGACTTAAGGTAACATGTTTTGTTTATAACTGTGAAAATATTAATTTCATTTTTGCATTCAAAGGGTAGTAGAAACTTTTTATGGACAGGCTCCTTTCTTAATTTGTTTTTTGTATTACTACTGTAAGCTTTGCCTAAACAATTTCTGTACAAAACTATACCTTAGATATTGGTCTATATATGATTTTTTTTTTGTGGTTAATGAACAAACAAAAAAAAATTGTTTAAAAAAAGACAAATCATGGAAATTCACCAAAAGTTACTTATTTAGTCTCCGTGTCAAAAAAAAAAGTGAACACTTAAAATTAAGTGAAATGTTGATTGTAATAAGAACCCTGTTTGTCTGTGTCGAGAAATGAGAAATCCAAAAAGCATGTAATATAATAAACTTTACAAAGATTGTTGTACACATTAAATGCTAATTATACAATGGCATCAATTATATTTTTTTCTTTCATTTTGCTTTATCATCTGTACTTTGTATATTAATATAAACTTTTAAATTTCATGTTTTGATTGAAATAATACCACATATAGGTCTTTTTTCATAGCCACTGTAAATATCTTTTTTTTTTCCAAGGGGATATAAGTCTGCACAATCACAATTTCTGTCCATCCGCGCTTAGAAAATTGCACAACAGTACAATGATTTAAAATTTCCACGGAAAATTTAGTGTTAAATAAAGCTAGGCAAAAAAAGTCCACATACAGTATATGTCACTAGTGCTTAATAATGCTATTAAGAAGAATCATTCAGATTGTTTTGATTTTTCATGAAAGCAAGGGAAGATAACTGTCCTCCTTTCCTAAATCTCTCATCATTTTAAATTCCTATAAATGTTAGTGTTCTTTCATTACTTGTCATTGTCAAGGTTAAAAAAAATCAGCAATTTGTTGACTTTTTAATGTCTTGTATCTTAAAAACTTTTATTTCAAATACCAGGCATATGTTTAAGTGAATCCCTAGTCCCAGTTAAGGCTAAATGTGAACTTTGATAACTCCAATGTGACTGTGTATCTTAACCTCTTTTTTTCAATTACAACAAGAAATACTTGCTTTAGATACTTCTTAAGTAGTACAAAAACTCTTGCATTAAGTTATTGCTGACTCTGTATTTTGAACATTGGTATTTTTTAAACTTGTTAAGATGAGTTGGAAGTCCAACCATTATCTTTTAAGTTTTTTTAAAATTGTTTTTGTAGAATCCTCAGATTTTTGTCCCCCGCTTGAAAAGGGGGGGATATTAATTTGGGTTTGTCCGTCCGTCCGTCCGTCCGTCTGTCCGTCCGTCCGTCCGTCTTTCTGTCTGTCTGTAACGCTTTCGTTTCCACACGATATCTCGAGAACCCTTTGAGCTTTTGCAATGAAATTTAGCATAGCAACTCCCTATGGACTAAAGAAGACCCCTATTGATTTTGAGGTCAAAAGGTCAAAGGTCAAGGTCATAAATAAGCAAATTCTGTCTGTTAAAACACTTTCGTTTCCACACGATATCTCTAGAACCATTTGAGCTATCGCAATGAAATTTTACATAACAACTCCCTGTGGCCTAAAGAAGACCCCTATTGATTTTGAGGTCAAAAGGTCAAAGTTCAAGGTCGTAAATTTATACATTCTGTCTATGTGTAACAATATCATTTCCGGGCGATATTTCAAGAAGATTTTGAGCTTATGCAATGTAATTTTATACCAAAACTCCCTAGGACGTCTCTCGCCCCTCTCAAAGTGCCCCGCCCCGTTTGTTTTATTAGTATTTATAGTATTACATGTTGCTATTTTTAGCGCAGGGGCATGAGGAGAGTTATTGCGTATAAAACAGGTTCTCGGCGGATTTTATGTTCTTATTACATCTATTATAACTGTTTAATAAAGGCTAAATAAATCAAACACCATGGATTGTGTAAAATTTTGAGAATACCGAACATGAAAACATGAATATATACATGTATGTGACTTCAGTTCTGCATATACTTCACTCTAGTCAAAGCGACTTCTTGGTCTAGTGGTTATGTCTCTCGCTTCAAGTGTGAGAGGTCCCGGGATCGAATCTCGGTCGAACCTTTCTTTCTTTTTTTTTTTTTTTAAATATTTTTTTTTTTACTAAATGATAGTATTCAGCATGTGAAATGAAAAATTTATGAGGTTATAAAATCATCATTACAGTGTGATAAATATTCCATATAAAAAATCTTCTATACACATAATAAAGAATAAGCAATCAAATCTTTATATGCATATTGACATACATGTATTTTATTTCCTTCAGTATACATGTATACATTTAATAATTCTACAAATTCAGTCAGGGGGAGCCGACTTTTTCCCTAAGCGGGGGACACGAATTCTCTGAATTAGCTTGTTTCTTTTCTTTTTGTGAGCCATCAAGTTTGATATACCAGGGTTTGATTGTACTTAATTTGTGCACAATTTAATTAAATCAACTTGAACACCTTATAAACAAAAGATGAAATGTATATTACTTTCATTACAAAGTATTATACACTATAGTTTTGTGAGGACTTATTTGACAAGGATTTGTTAGTTAAGTTACCATTGAAATAACCAGGCAACTGATTTAATTAGTGACTAGGAATACATGTGTATACATGTAATTGTGACTGATGCAGAAAATGAAAACTTCACCACAAAGAGATAGTTTCAAAGTTTTTCAGGGGATTATTATAAAGAAATACTGTCTCACTGGGCGTATGTTTCTTAGTTAACTTACCTTATCAATTAATGTGCTTAAACAGATATTCATAGCATTATTAAATTTTCTTTTAAAGAAGAGTAGTGAATTGTTCTTCATTATCGATCTTTTTTATTCTTATCATGAAAGTAGAATTTTTTTCCTTTTTGTTGCTAATCTGTTTACTAATAAGTAAACTTCATAATTATGTAACCATTATCTAAAAGAACCAATGATACTTTTTTATATTCCTAATCTTTACTAATAAATAAACTTCATCACTATTTAACCAGTATCTAGAAGAAATCTTCACTTTTTGTCATAAATCTGAAAAAGCAGAATTTAAATGGTGCAAATTGAACTAGTCATCCAGTCATCTGAATGTGTTGTGTTCCAATTATAGCTTTTAAAGAAAGTTGAGGGTTGTACCTGTGTTTTGACAATTTTAAAATTTAACATTTAGATAATGGTACAATGTATTTACATATTGATTTTTGTAGAAATGAAAATAAATAAAGACCAAATTAATGATCTTGAGTTATGATGGTGAATAAAATTTAA